GAAAGATTTAATGCAATTAAGTATGTAAACAAATAAAATGTTGATAAATTACAAGTATCTTAAAAACAATTATACATATACTGTCAATATCATATATTTAAAATTAATTTTATTTGTAGGTCAAGTATACGCGAAAAAGTTCTTTAAAAAAAGCGTTACTGAAAAATGCTAATTATCTGTCTTACATGACAATTGTATTTAATATTCATATAAAATATGTTTCAAATTAAGAACCTATAACAACCAAGACACTTCAACATAAAGACTGACTTATATATTATTAATATATTAATAATAACGTAATTAGAGTAAATTTATAAACACTAAATAAAACTGTTATAAAGTTTTAGTTTGTGTCGATACTGATATCAAATCGATGAACTACATTAATCTTTATTGAAACTATCAATATACAAATTGATATTTTTACATTAAAGACACGTGTCTTTAATTCTTAAATAGTTCTTCTAATATGTGTGTGTGTGTGTGTGTGTGTGTTTTGTATTTATTATATATGTATGTATTTATTTTAAATAATGCCTATGCTATGTTTTTAATAAATATCAATGAATTTAATCAAATATATTTATTTTAGATATCAATTACTACTGCACATATTAAATTACATATTTTGTTTTTACAAAAACGTATCAATAAAGCATAGACAAAGAGTGTGTTTTAAATTTTATATACTGGTTTCAATTTTTATTAGTTTAGTAAATTCTCTAAATATATTTAAAACTTTTATTTTACTCATCGAATTAAAGAAAAAGTATATACATTGAATTTCAAATTTTCTTTTGTTTTAGGAGATATTTCTATTATCTTCTTGTTTAAAGTTTAATTTCAATTTATAAATTCATTTGCAACAATAACCTTTAAAAAAAATAAGTATTAAAAAATGTTTACTACAATATTTTATAAAAAATAAAATATTTGACTTTAACATAAAATTTAACTGTAATTGGCACAAGAATAAAGAATTAACCTCTGTAATTATACAATAAACTAATGACGCATTTGTTGAGTAATAATTTCATTAATCGATTGATTTAATCAAGTGGATGTAACATAAAATATATTTTAAATTGTATAATTATAAACGTGGCATAATACCGAACTTTATTATATTTTTCAATTATTTAAAAATATTCTTATATGAAGACGTGAAATGGCAATGATAATTTTTATATGAGATCAATCTATTAATATTTTTACTCTATTAAATGAATCGCAATCCAAAACTGATGAATTTCATAGGATGTTTTCATAATTGAAAAATGTTTTCATTTTAATTTATATCTAAGTATTCAATATAATTTTTAATTCAATTAATTTTAAATATAGTTATATAATAATAAATGTAAATAAAAGTTAGTGTCGTCGGTTGCAAACATTAAGCAATGCTTTGTTTTAAAACTACGTGAATGAAAATGCTTAATAATAAATGCAAATTACCTCCTGATAAATAAAGCAAAAATCAAAAAGTAGTTCATTATAAAATAGTATTATTTTTATTAACATTATTGCTATTAATATTATTATTATTATTATTATTATATTTAATATGTAAATATTTAGTACGTACATTTATTATGTAATTAAATATATTAATAATTTCTATAGGACACTTGCTGTTTAGTTTTATCTACGAAAACTTAATAAAATAAGGAATAAAATATTCAGCCTCATTTGCATTTCGGAATATTATATTGTTTCGGAAGATCAAATAGTACTTTGGTTATAAATATGACTTGTAATCAAAAAGGCATATAACTATTTAATAGATCATTACAATAAAAAAAAAATAATAAAAGAAAAATGAAAAAAATCTTTAAAATTAGTATATTGCATAAAACGAAAATACTTAATATGGGATCATTACTTTATTTTAAAATACCAAAAATTAAATTAATTATTAAAATACAATTTACTAATTATACCGTGACACCTAAACTGATATTAATCTAATCTAATATTAATCTGCAATAACATTACTTAATAAATGTTATCATTTAATAATCATTTAATATTGTTGGCGAATAATGCAATAAAATTGATTTAGTTTGTTAGGCTTATTTAGTTAAATTAGACTTTTTTTAATTAAAAAATGAATAGTACAACAAAGTATATACAATAAAGGATTCTCTTAAAAAAAAAATAAGAATTACAATATAAGCATGAGATATTCGACAAAGTAAAAATATTAACTCTCTGATTCATTTACCCCTGCTGTAAATGTAGATGGTACAAATAAGAGTGTGTAGTACAACATGTTGTTTTAATAAACTACATTACCAGTTATTATAGCAAGACTTTATGAAAGTTGTTTAGTATATGTCTATTTTTGAAGAATTTTGTTTACATAATTTTTAATTATGATATTTATGAATTTTCTCCCCATGTGCATAAAGATAATCATAAAAGTTAGTTACAAAATAGATTTAATTAAAAATTCTTTTATTTAGATTTAATATAGAATAACCTACGTCATTGAGTGGTAAAATTTTGTTACGCAATATCACTGGAAATTATAAATATGTAATTTATAAATATAGATTATCACATTTTATCATTTATTAAAATATGATAAATTAATTCTTATTATTTTTATTATACGTTACATTATGCATATAATTAAATTATTTCTCTAATATAATTAAATCTAACATAATTAAATAGTAAATAGAATAGAAATGAAAGATGCAAATTACATAAATAATAGTTAAACTTTAAATTTCAATATAGGTTAATCTAAAAATTTGTATAGAATATAATATTATTTTTATACAATAAACTTTGCATAATTACAAATACTTCTTAAAAACTTTACAACGATACCAAATACTAAAAAAACGTTGAAAGTATTTTTAACTTAAATTTATGTAAATGAAAAAAATCTAATGTAAAGAAAAACAATCTAAATTATATATGAAAACGTAAGTCTTCAATGTGATTAATTAAAATGATTCGAACAATAATCTAATTTCTATAATATATTTAAATATCTATTATTTTTGTTTAATAATTCTATCTTAAAACGCATTCGTACATAATTCGTTGCTAATAATTGTCACTGACCCATTAGTTTAGATATATATAATTGATATAGTATTCGTCTCAAAATAATTCCATTTTTTTAATTTTAGTGACATTATTGTACTAATATTTTAAATAGTTAAATTTAAATATAAAAATATAGAAAATATTAGGAATTTATACTTCCTCAGAGACAATTAATTTTATTAAAATAATTTGTTCATCATCTTAATCATCAAAATTCATCAAAGTTCATCATCAAAATCATATTTAAATATTAAAAGGTTGTGTTGTATAGAGTTTGTACTTTACAAACTAGTTAAATAAATGTACAATACTCTAGTTATCTAATTTAACAGCAATTACAAACAGATATTTAGTTTCTTTTCGATATTGGTGAACAATAAGTTAAATCCTCTACAAATAGCTTTTATTGATTTTTTATTCGAAAGTTAATCTGATATTTTATAAATCTTCAATTTTACAAAGATTTATTTAATAAACTTCTGCAATTACATGAAATGTGAAGCTCCTAATTTTGCTTATATTACTGACAATAGTTGTAAGAATTGTACTAGTATATTTCTTGCTGGTAATTATAGATTATAAATACAGATTTTTACATTAAAATCTATCAAATTAATGTACAAACTAAGAAATAGCTGAAATTATCATTTATTATTATAACTATTTGTTAATAGTTGTTATTTGTTAATATTTATCAATGACGCTTGATTAACTTATAATAACATAGTTGTATAATAAATATATATCTTATAATAAAATAGAAACACATTTGAATTATTTAGATTTAATTTATTTAATTTTAAATTTTAAATAATTCTTTTTAATTATTAAAATAAAAATGTTTTACAAGTGCTAAAATCTTTGAAATGTACATACTTTGTTTCTATGGATAGCTTAAAATAGGAGAACAAGTGAAATAAATTAGTAATTAGCATTTATAAAATAAATAATAAACACCATGTGGTAAGTAGAGAGTGTAACAAAGTTTCGAATATTATAATGAATGCTAAATAAATAATAGACTATAATCTTTTTTCGATATAGTATAAATCAATATGTTATAGAAAAAATATAGTTTATAAAATATATTAACATGTACAATTAAATATCTATGTTATCGACAATGGATAACAGAATAGAATAATAATTGTACCATAAATATAACAGTGAAATTATAATAAAATCAAATAGAATCCAAAATGAGTTGAAAATCGGCGTACTATGTACTGGTATCTTAATAGCGATGAATCAGGGCATGTTATCCCAGACCTAACCTTAACCGGGAGATGTCGCCGATGCCTTCTCCCTCGATTTTACCCTCGCAGCTAATGGTAATTAAATCTATATACGCGAAAGGGGAAATATTCAAACAATAGTAGTTTACTTCGCTTATCTTCATGGCCGATCGCAGCATCATGGGACTTCAGAGGCGACTGTCATCCTTCAATTAACGTAACCACTAATCTTTATTGTAGAGGAGCAAGCAGTGTATCGTTTGTTAACGAGACATCATCGAAGATACCCCGGTCCATATTAACAAAACACGCGAGTCAAAGAAAAGAAGCAGATCGTAGCAATAGAAAGAAAGAGAATACAGCAAATAAAAAAAGGAAATCGAGTGTTAATAAATAAAGAAGACGGACATGTAATTGCTTATTCTGCTTTCTGCATGTAGACACATGTTCTCATCCTCCACCATCGTTGCCACCATCTTTACGCATACATAGCAGTACAAAGGAATATCGTGCGTCAACATATCACGCGTCACGAACTCCCGTCAACGCGTCGTAGTCGCTTCGTTGTTGCCATTGTTGCCGTTGCAATATAGTCGTAGCAGCCACCGTTTCCAGCAGTTTATATATATATATATATATATATATATATATATATATATATATATATATATATATAGATGCATGCATATTATATACCTACTCTACGCATACTGTACGGCACGTACTGTTGGCCAAATGTGTAACAGCAATATTTTGACAGAGAAGATACGTACGCGCTGTTCAGAAATAACATGCGCATGGCTGCTATATTGAATATTTGACAGTTAGTGTGACGGTCATACTCATGAGAATTGGTTTCCGAAAAGCGTGAAAAACATCAAGGATCCGGGGTCCCTTGTTTAAAAAGCCGCGAGTCGCGCCAAGCGCTGGGAGGTGTCAGCGAACAAGTGGGGAAAGGGGAACCGCGAGGCAGCGGCAATACACAGAGGCATACAGGCGTGTGTACATGCACGAAGTAAGTACGAGGTTAGCCCCGGCGTCGTCGCGTCCGCCCGTGTCGACGACCTAGCCTAAGCCCGATTCGTAACCTAACCTCGAGCAAGGGGTTAGGCCTTGGTCCTGTGAACGGAGGCGCATGTGTGACGGCCGATGAGCGAAACTGAGGGCGACAGTAACAGCAATAGCAGCGGCAACAGCGGCTACAGGGACTTTTTGACCGAAGCCTGGCCCTGAGTTCAGGGGACGTCTGGCTGTCATCGGCTTCGAGCACCGCCACCAAGGCCGTAACAACCCATCCTACGGACTAGGCTTGAGATGAGCGACCATGGTTGCATACACTTGAATAACTTCAAGGCAGCCAAGGGCATACAGCCCTACAAAGTCATACACTCTTTTTTCGTAACTAGTACCAGTAACGAGGCACGCGTCAGGAAGGTAAGAGCCCAAAATTCCAGACACCTTTTGTTTATTTTTTTTTACTCCGTGCTCCGGATCTTTTTTCTTCCACCTTCCTTGCGCCAATCGCTCTGCTTCAGAAGCAGGAAGCATTGTTTCAAAAATACAATTGTCGAAGCAAATGCTGAAATGCTATTTCATAGTTGCTTTTTAATCTTCAGGCTCAAATGTCCACCAAAATCCATGGGCATTTTCCATTTCTTGTCTATTAATTTGTTCAAAAATTAAAAGGAGGAATCTTTTCAAGTTTCTGTTTAATGCTTTATTTTTATTTCACATTCATTACATTTCTGCTCCAATTATTGATCTTGTAAAAAGCATTATTCTATTTTTACTATAATTTACTTAATTAAAATTGACAACACATTCAATTAAATACAAAAATAATTTATCCAACATATGCATAAGCGAGGTAACTTTTTTCATCGTAAATATCGATTAACAAAAAGGGAATTTTCACTTAAAAATAATTATTTTTTGATTATTGGATATTTTAAGTAAAGACATATCCACATTAAGCATTTACTAAACTTACGTATTATTTTACTTTTAACAAAAAGCAGCCGATTCCTTCCACCACCAGCTGACTTCTAAATACAAATTGATTACGAATTAATTGTAGGTAAGATCTTTTCTGAGAAAAATTTCTAATTCAAGTTAAATTTATTTATTCTTACAAAGTTTTTGAATTAGCATTATTTTATTAGTTAGCAATCCTTCATTCTCTAAATTGTTTATTTTACTTGATTAAAAGGTATTGTATTATGTATTTTAATTTGATAATTAATTCGTTTGGAATAAATAAATCAATTATTTAAGAATAAACCATTATTTTACAAATATGAATACTATTTTTTATTTTAAATTTTTTATATTTATTGAAATATAATAAGAATAGCTAAATTTAATTTACTATCAGTTTATTATTATTAAGTAATATTATATATGCTCAATAATTAATACAAATACTACAAACAATTATTTTTTAAGATTCAAATTTCTTCAGGTAAGAATACAAATCTTTAAATCTTTTCGAATTAATATTTTTTGGAATATAAATTACCATTCTTTGAAATAAACATAGACGTATTAATATTTAATTAGATTATTTAATGAACATATTTCAATTTATAACTAAGCTAAAAAAGATATAAATTTATATTAATGCATTTTAATGGTTAAACTAACTTTAAATATTATATCTTACAAAATTATGTTTCAAAGAAATTACTCAGAAAAAAAATATTTGAAAAAACAAATCGATTTTATCCAACCATAAATGAGGAAAGATCTATCATTCATCTTAAAAAAAAATCAAATATGCAATTATGTATTTCTGACGAATAATTGAGTGCAGAGATCAGTAAATTAAATGATTATCCATAATTTAATAGCGTTCAAAAAATAGCAAAAAATTTTTGATCGATTTTATCATAAATGTAGTACCTGCACGAAATAAGCTGTATGCACTATTAAACATTAGATCATAATTTAAGACATTCGGTGAATTATTAATAATCTATGGAGTATACGAAGTATTTAAGAAGAAATGAAAAACCGGCATTTTTCTTGCAGCACCAGATCTGCGAAGTCGACAGACCTTGTTTGGCTGTATTCTTTTTTTGTCTTTTCATAGCTGCTCAGGTACACCATAACGGTATTTCGAACGACCCCTGTCTCGTTTGTAAAAGTCTCTTGATGTTTCCTTGAATTGCAATGCCAAATTATCCATTTTAAATATACCAAGAATTTCCTTAAACGGATATAAATGAGTTACATTTTTATTTAATTATAAATTCTCGAGTTTCGTTTTAAGGTCACTTGTTAAATAATGTCTCTTTCGAACGCCAGTGCATATACAAATCTGATTTATTCATAAAACTTTTATTATTAGTATTTATTATATACATATATATATATATATATTTACCTATGCAGATACATACTTTATTCATAAAATACATATTATCTAAAATAATAGATGGATTTAATTACAATGATATATTATAAATATTTATAAAATAATATATTGCGAAAAACATTGTTCTTAAATTAAAATAGTAACACATCTTATATTTAATTAATATAGTTAATGATTTCAAATTTATATATATACATTAATTTTTAATATTTAAAATATAATATAATTATATATAAATATAAAGCACAAAATCATATTTAATATTACACGATATCAATTTATTTTAATTATTTAAAAGAACTAATTTATTGATAAATTTTCATATTGCATTTTTATAATTTTTATAAAACAAAAAATTATTGATATTGATGAGTAGAAAAAGCAAGTGAATCGATCATTTAGAAACGCTTACGTAAAATATTCGTTGGCTGTTAGATAGTATAAATTACAAGGACCGATCGACTTTTCTAAATGAAATTGTTGACAAAAAGATTCAACTTAATAAGAAGGAAAAGATAGTGATGGTACAAAGTAATTAGTAATTAATAATCATGCATCACGTATCGCAATAATGTTATAATAATTTTTTACAGGCTGTAAGCTGCTTGTGTCATACGTGTAAAAGTTACAAGGATCGACTCCATTCGTGTTTGCATTGTATATTCTTCGGCTGCTACGTTAAGGGCCATATTCAAGAGCACGCCAAGACAAAAAAGCATTTTCTTGGTGAGTTTCATGTTTCTTAAATAGTTTGGTTAAAGTTAGAATTGGAAATTTAGGATTGATCTGAATGAAAACACAATTATAAATTTTAAATTAATTATGAGGTATTAAATTACTTTTCATAAATATTAATTAGTGCGTTCAAGATTATTTGTCCTGATTGAAAATATCCAGTTTACAAAACTGAAATCACTAGTAAGCATCAAATTTGAGGATATATTTAATATTTCAAGTTATTAAATTCGCAATGATAACTAAAATTTTTATATTAGACTAGCGAATTAATAAAAAAAAATTTAAAGATTCGCTAAAAAACAATGAAAACTGCTCATAATAATGTCTTGTAGCGGTAGACCTGTGCTACGGTAATATCCTGTGCTTTCAATGTGGTGACTACGTGTACGATCGAGAGCTCCTTGTAGTGGCGAAAGCCCAATGGAGTGAGACCGCAAAGTCTCTTAGTCTTGGAGAATTTTATAGGACATGGGAACCTTCTCTTTACGAAGTCGAACTTTTAAAGAAGAACCCGCGTAGAAGACGCGTTGTCGAGAACTCCACCATCGGTAAGCGCCCAATATTTTTAATACAATATATTTGATGCAACAAATATTTAGGATTGTGTGCAAATATTGTATGGAATCTTACCGGCTGAGAGGAGTTACTTCAATGTAGTATTGATACGACCATGATCTTTATGCCGCCGCCCAAGCATTATAAGTCAATATTTTTGTATATCAATTGAAATTATTTAAAGAAACAATGCCTTTTAATGATGGTTAAAAATAACATGACATTTAACTAGTTTATGTGCGAGGAATTCTTATATTGTAAAACTATATTTTTATTTATTTTTAATTTAAAGATTATTTCTATCTGAGGTTACACTAGTCATACATGAATTACTGAAATTGAAAACAATATTTAGTTATAAACTAAAATGGGTAATACCAGTTATTACGATAACTTTTTAATAATGTATAGTTTTTATTTATATTGAAATATAGTTTTAATATTTTATAATATAGATTATTATTGTAGTAATTTTTTGCATTATAAGCCTTATTATATAACACGAAATAAAAAACGTAGTGTGGTACATTTATTATTAATGTAAAAGTTTTTTATTTTTAATAAATCTCTTACAGTATTATACAATACATTGTCATATAAAGCCATTTTTAATTTACATATAATACAATTATTTTATTATATTTTATTAAATAGTGTTTTTTTTTAATATAGAGTCTTAATAGTTTTAAATTTAAATTATAATTAATTTAATTATAATTATTTAGTCGATTAATCGACTTAATGTTCAAAAGCTCAACATTATAAATAAAATAACTGATAGGTTTGCGCGGCCTAATAAACCTGGGAAGCACGTGCTTTATGAACTGCATTGTACAAGCACTGATCCACACGCCACTACTGCGCGACTACTTTCTCGCAGACAGACACCATTGCCCGCAGCCAAATCGTTGTCTCGTCTGTGAAGTTTCGAGCCTCTTTCAGGAGTTCTACTCCGGTAACAAAGCGCCTCTCATTCTCCACAAACTTCTCCATCTTATTTGGACGCACGCACGTCACCTCGCCGGTTATGAGCAACAGGATGCTCACGAATTCTTTATTGCCACCCTTGATGTCTTGCACAGGCATTGTGAACAGTATTCCCAAGTCGCGCCCCTCATCGTCAAAGATAACCCACATCACTGCAATTGTATCATTGACCAAATATTCACTGGAGGCTTGCAGAGCGATGTTGTATGCCAGGCCTGCAAGTAAGTACTTTTCTTTATGACAGGATAAAATTATGAAATTCTTATATTATTACCTTTTTGAATATAGTTTATTTATGCTCGTTGTTAGTATATAAGAACATTGCTATTATACTATAATAAGAAATATAATTATTATTTATCTAAATTATGTAAATTAAATTACTAAAATATATTGTATTAAAATTTTGAAATAGATTTGAAAATATTGAAAATATGGTTTTAATTTATTATCCTAGCATATTTATGCATGAAACAGCTATCGTATATAAACCTTTTAAAATAATATTAATTTCATTTTTATAAGCCTCAAAAACATAGTATTGTTTATTTTAATATTTTTTTTATCATAGGTATATTATTTAACATATTCAAAATTTCCGTTACTTATATATAAAAATCCGTTACTCTATTTTCAATGACAAATGAAGTAAATTAATTCATTTTAGTTGATAAAAATAATTATGCTTTCTAGTCAACAAACAAATTCTTTAAAATGAAATATACAACAAAAATCAATTATATAATAATGGAGTATGCTATTCACTAATTGTAAATATTTATTAGTTTGCGTACGAAATTTTATAAAAGCCTAATACTAATTTTTTAAACTTGTAGTGGCGTTTCAACAACGATCGACCCTTTTTGGGACATATCCTTAGATTTGGGCCCAACAGCTGGTAGCGGTGGTCCATCGTCGGGACTGAGTAAGGAGGGTGGTGGAGCGCCCACGTCTCTCCTAGACTGCCTGGAGCGCTTCACACGAGCAGAGCACCTCGGTTCCTCGGCCAAGATTAAATGTAACAACTGCCAGACCTATCAAGAGAGCACCAAGCAACTGACCATGAAGCAGTTGCCCATCGTTGCAAGCTTTCACCTCAAACGCTTCGAGCATTCAAGCATTCAGGACAAGAAAATATCCACCTTTATCTCCTTTCCAGAGCAGCTTGACATGACACCCTTCATGTCGCATCGAAGGAATGGCAATAACAACAGTGCTGCACCAAATGGACTTCACAAAAATGGCGAGGATGCGGCCTTCAGCGATAACAGGTATAACATTTCTTTATAAATAAACTTAGTTATTTTCAAGTAATTTTCAATAAGTTATTTTCAAATAAAATGAAACCAGTCTATTCATAAATAATACACGAAAACACTATACATATATTATTTATTGATTGATTAATTATTCATATTAAAATACTTATGAATATATTACTAATAATTTCAAATGTTATTAATCTAATGTTTAAAAAAATAAAATATCGGTTGCAAGACAGGTTTTTACTACTTCATTTATCATTTTTTTCTAATACAGGTATTCATTATTTGCTGTTATAAATCATGAAGGTTCACTGGAGACTGGCCATTATACTGCTTTTATACGTCAGCAGAGAGACCAGTGGTTTAAATGCGATGATCATCTTATTACAAGAGCTAGATTAAAAGATGTATTAACTAGTGAAGGGTAATGATAACAAACTTATTACATTGCTTGTGATTAAGAAACTAATAATTAAAAAATAAGATATTTGAGTTATTTTTTACCATTTCAGGTATTTACTATTTTATCACAAACAAATCCTGGAGTACGGACGAAATAGTAAGGTGTGAAAATCTGACGATATGATTATTTTTTGACTATATAATTCCAATTTACATATAATTTAAAAATAAGTTTGCCAGTCAAGAAAAATTTGATTCTAGACGCAAAGCAAATGATTACCGAACATGAAATAAGATTTACTTGCTTATTCTAGGGGAAAAAGAAAAGCTTGTACTTATTTTATAAATCGTATCTAAATTGTTTGTTTATCTATGTATGTCATAGAGTGACCAACGTAGTGCAAAGTTTGCTGAATAAACAACGTGGATTCATTTTAGATGAGAATAAAAATCTGGAAATAGTGAAATACTGATAATACGAAGTGACTTGTCATTTCGTACAAAATTCCTCTTACTGCTCTTTCATTCAATTGTAATTTCAACTCCGTTTTACGATTACATGGAAAAAATTGAGGAAAGAAGGGCAATGAATTTTTCCATTGACCTCAGTAGACAAGTACTATGATTAGCTTTAGGGAATAATTTCGCTCATATGGTCAATAAATTTGCTATTATATTGTGAACATAAACTCTTTTTCAATGATACACAATGTTTAAAGTATGGCATTTGCTATAGAGAATTGATTTCAATTCTATTCGGCACATCAATAAATATCAAATTTTATAGTTTAAATTCTGTTTATACAAAGATAAAATAATTTCAAGATATTTTCGTATTATAATGATTTCTATAAGACGATATGAAATGTTACGTATTTATCCATGAAATATAGATAAGCGTTTATTTATTTACTATGTTAATAAAAAATATTATTTGTAACATTAATAAAACATTTTCATATGATCGATATATAAAGTGAGGAGATAATTAAAACGGGTTAAAGACAGACAACACAACTCTTGTAATATTTTGTATAAGGCTGACAAGAGAATTTACGAAAATAAAAAAAAATTCTATTTAAATACGAGTTTTAATACTTACCATAAAAATCCAACAATATATTTAATTTATTATAAATCATAATTTGTAGTTTACATCATATAACAAATAAATGGTAAAACATTAAAGAAGTCCATAAAAAATAAGAAACATACAAAACAAAATGATAAATTATATATTCTGATAACAATCTTCTGCAAAAGCAGCTAACCACTTCCTTTCAGGATGCCAAGCAAGAGCTGTGATTGGAACCACAGAATGTCCAGAGGCTTTAACCTCGGATAAATGTTCTCCTTGATCGTCGTAAACACTAATAAAGCAACCTTTTTCTTGGGAGTGCACAACAACAGCAAGAAGTGGCAAATTTGAATGCCATGCTATAATAGAACTCACTGATGTCACATCAAGGTTTTGTACTCTAGTGTCAAAATACAATGACATTTTATTGTTTGTATTTGCTTACAATCATTAAAGATAGATTCATATATATATATTAAAAAAATTAAATAATGATAAATAAATAATTTAAAATAAAAAACAAGTAATTATTAAAGTAAAATTATCATAGCAACCGTTGCTAATCAGATACCATTCGTATAAACAAATTCCTCCTGAGAAAACGAAACGAGCATAATTAATAGGCTGCGCGTGCAGCGCCCACTTACTATTTCCTATTCAAATAATGAAATTCGAATTCGTTGCATTTTCATAATAAAGATTAATAATAAAAACGTTTATTGTAATTAATTATATATACATAATAGTATAATTTTATCATGAAATTTTATTTTTTTTAAATTATCTAATTTGACTTCATAAAGATTATACTTTCTGTAAAAAAATAAGTATTATTTTATGGAATTGTTTAATACTTCATATACGTATAATATGTTAACGTAAAAGTTTTTAATGTAAAGATCAACTGCCGCACATTTAAATGAATTTATAAATTTTACTTATATTGTCATAGAAATTTTTTTTGCAATATTTATCCGATAATGCCATTTGTAATGAATCGTATTTTTTATGAGGTCGTGTTTGTAGATTATTAATCTTTATATTCCGTTCTTAATGGCGTAGCATTTTTTTAGTTAATGCTTTTAAACATAAGTAAATAATAAATAAAACGTGCTAAAAAAGTAAAATAAATTACAAACGATATAACAAAATTTATATATTTATTAAATATTTGATTAATTCCTGTTAATTTATACAAAATTAAAAAATTTAAGACATCACAATATTATCATTTGGTATTAATGAATAATGTGAGAATTACATTCAAATGAAAATGTACACATGTGCGCTTACACGCGCGCGCACTTTTTCCTGAATTCAATAACAAAAGAATTCGTTATTCTTATCCTTAAAAATACTTGAATAAAATGATAAAGATTCTTCCCATACTCTTCTTATATTTTATGGACAATTTTTTCGTATTGCCATCACGTTTTTTTTTAATAGCGCTTTCTCTTGTTGATGAGTTTCGGTTTGCTGACGCGAAGCTATCTCAATATTATTTCTCATTTTAGATAATTCTTCCATTATACTTTTATGCTGCTCTATGAGCATTGATTGTAATTTTCCATCCTATCATAAACAATTAAATCTTTAAACGCACTATGGTATTCTAAGAAATGTATAAAGATTGCACGAATACATTACATCTTGAGTTTTTATTTCAACCAACTGCTGAAGCTCTTTTATTTGTTCGCACAAAGAATCGATTTCATTTAGCTTTTGGGTCAATTGTACCTCTTTTTGACGAACCATTTCGTCTCGCGAATTTATTTGTAACTCTTTTTCTTGCAACATTTTTTCGTATTCTATTTTCGTACATTCAAGCTTATGAAGCCACTGTTCTTCGCTTACTTTTACAAACTCTTTCTATAAAATAAATTTTAATTTCCATTTGAATATCATATATTTTATTTTAAACGAATGGTAAAAATTTGTCACATTAAATAAATAGAATCTTTGCTTACTTTTTCTCGGTTCAACTCTTGTAACTTCGTTTCAATTACAGCGATTTTATTATTCAAATCCTCATTTTCACTTCGTGCATTTTCCAACTGATGTTTCATTTTCTTGAAATGTTCCGTCATTTTAATCTTGTATTGATCGACGATTTCCTTGTGATGTTTTTCGAGTATGGTTTTCAGTTCGTGCACCTCCATTAGCCTTAAACACGCAAAGCTTTTCTTTCGTTCGAAAATATTTAGAATTCTCAGTAACAAGAAATACTCACTTGTTTTTTAAACTTGTAATTTCTGTCATCAATTGCTTAATGCGCAAATGTAAATGCGGTATTTCGTCGGATGTTGAAACGTTGTGATAATACATTAATTTCTGCTTTAATTTTTCATTTTGATTCTCCAATTCTTCCACAATGGTACTCAATGTTTCTATTCGATTTCTGTAAGTCCTGAGTAAGTTCTTCTCACACCTTGGAATTTCGAACTACCTTTAATTCTCAAATTATATCTTAGAACTATAAAGTATACATATACCAGTATGGGTGTTTATACACATCTCTCTCTCTCTCTCTCTCTCTCTCTCTCTCTCTGTGCGCACGTATGTTTTTTTCAGACTGTTTTTATAACTGTTTAAGTTAATCGAACGATTTATTCTAAGATTAAAATACAATTTTCAACCACGTATATTTATATATTTTGAACATATTAAGTATGATATAATTTATTCTAAATAATAAAAGAAAATTTTTCTAAAATTTAGTTGGACATTTATAATATAGAACCTTATTATTGCTATTCGACAAAAAGTAACTATAAATTTTCATTAAATAATAATGTTATTTTAAGACTTTTATTATGTCATTTGGTTAAAAAAAATATTGTCTAAGTACTAATATTAAGTTAATTTCATTCATTCACTAAAAACATTACTAAGATTGAATTAAAACTCTCCGATACATAAAATAAAATAATGAAATAATTATCACGATGATAGTTTTAGCGATTAATGTAATTTATTAAAAAATTATTTTCAATATATTGGAGAAATTATAGAAAAATAACAAAAGATTAATAAAGAAACGATAATACATCAAGATAAAAAATGTTAAGAGACAATAATAAAGAATAAAAATTAAATGCAATAATTTACAAAAAAACAATTGAGGCAATAGCATCAAATAAATAAAAATCAATAGAAAATAATTATAATATATGGGTGGTAGCAAGAAAAAAAAATTTTACAGTAATAAAGTATTCAGCATAAGCGATTCTTAAATTCGATAAGCCTTCGATTTATCCGATTAAAATCAAAGAACATTCATCCATATGTTCAAATGAAAATATCGAGAGGTAGAACCTGCTACTTTGCTCATGAAAGTGAACTGTCGGCGACGAGAGCATATCTCCACGGGGAGTACTCGAATGTACTTCTTCATGCCTCGGAAAAGTTCTGATCCTGCGTATGTCTCGGTTTAGGCTCTTACACCTTGGCTTGGGCCAACTGCGCTGTGGTTCGCAAAGAGAGGGACTCGTCTCCGTTAATTCGTTACACGACGAACTCGTTACCTAATGCATCAATTCAGTTGTAGCTATTGAATTTGCGAGCACTGAGCTACGAAATGTGATAGCCTTTTTTTAAGTTTGAAAAATATTGTAAGCGGTATGGCGGAACGTAACAAATAAAGAAAGGAAATCACGTTCGTTTTCATGGGCTCTCTTACGATTAGATTAATACTTAACCACAAATTAAAAATGGTACAATGGCATTTTAGGTTGTGGTTGAAGGGGATTCGGTAATAAAATAACGAAGTGGCGTGTACCAAACGATGGAACTTTGAGAGAGGCACAAGCCTGCCGTTTTCTGGCGGTTTATTGAAAGGCACTCTCAGGTAACCATTTTTCAGTTGTCGATAAAGCTCCAGTAGATAGTCATTCCTGAGGCTGCGCTGGTCCTCGGCATGGTCGAAACGCTCAAGCCAAAGCCGGCAATGACGGGAGTCGCTTGATATCGCCAAATTCAACAGATATGGTTTAACCCGATACAAGATGTCCTCAAATTGCTCATCGAGAATCTGTGCGTGTCGGTCGTCGAACTTCGACATCTTTCGCCCTCGAATGTACTTTATTTAAAAGAATTTATTAACTTCGTGTAGCGACGCCTCCCGACATTATGCCCGGAAACAATAAGAAAGAAAGGCTTCTGAATTTAATGAATGGGTTTTCCTCCACGAACGCGAGAATACGTGAAAAATTCAGACATTCATTTTTTTTAACGCTATATATTATGCACATGCACATGCACATAATTAAAATATACAATATAATTGTGCCTATAGATATTATGTTAAATATATTTTTAGTTTTCAGATTTTTAGTATATTTTTTTGTTATTTTTATGATATAGTTTATAAATTGCTGCTTATCTTGATTTGATTCTCTGCCGTTTTTTTCAATTTCATTAATTTTGCCTTCATGGGATCAATGTTTGTGCCAATCCATTCATCTAACATTGCCGTAAAATAATAATGTTCCATTTGAACGCGTAAATAACTCTCGAGTGTCGATAATTCAATTAGCATACTGTGAATATAAGACTATATGTAAATATGACGGAATTTGTTCAATTATTGTTAAATGCAGATATAACAATAATTATATATTAATACAATTATTGTTATATGCAGATATAACAATAAGCATACTGTAAATATAGATATTATTCATTTTTTATTAAATAAAAGAATTTTACTTTATTCATATAATACTAACTTAGTAAACACTGGAATTAAACTTTCTAGCTGCATTGGATTTGTGTAATTTTTTCCAATTTGCCAATGATTCATCCACGTTAAAATCCTAATAAATTAATTACTATTTATTATATAAATTGTACGAGTTATTTATGCTGTGTGTACATTCATATAATTTAAGAATAATTTAAGAATCATATAACATTCAGAAATGCATGTATACGCGCGTGCGGGCGCACCCATGCACATACGTGAAAAACACAATACAAAAATAAAATATATGTATATTAACTTTCATTTCAATACATTTAACAGATTTTTTATTTATTTAAATCTATGTAAACATAAGAATTGAATGAAAGAATTGATTTATTATTTGTATGTTTTTGAATAAAAAACCTGTCTTACTGCTCACTATTTACAAGTCCATGAAATTTAGTTTTATAATTTAAAAACGATTCTATGCCCACTGCAATCTGCCAACCGGGGAAATTTAAATTACTTGGTACTGGAATAGGTCTTGGCTGTGGTGTTACATGTAAAGGATAATCATTGTAACCAAGACTTTGTGCAACTTGCTCATAGGTTTGTTCAGAATATCCTTGAATCCAAATTTTTAAACAGATTGCTAATGATGGAATTGCGGTTGGTAGAAGTTCACACATTGTTGCATAATGATCATATCTGAGAATTGTTACTGATACTATATCTTTGATTTTATTACTAATATTATATATTAGAATTTTTTTTAGATTATTTTCTTAGTTAATTGAAATTATATTTTTAAATGTAAATTAGGAATTATAAATAAATACTAATTGATTTAATTAAAAATATTATTAGCATATTCGTGCTAACCTTGACCATCCAGTAAAAGCAGTTCCCTGAAATTTATTGATTTTGCTTACATGTGTATTAAGTTCCTGAATCCATCGCTCGTGATTACTAATATGATGTATAATTGTAGGAATATGTTGGCATGAACCAGTAGCTCCTTTAAAAGCTGATGCAATCCATATATTGGGGAATATTATACTGTATTTATCCCACATATCTTTTAATAGAATAATTAGTATGAAATGTCTTATTAATATATTAATTGGGTGTTATAATTAAAAATATTTACTTGTTTGTAAAGAAAAATTTTCTTTACTATTATAATGCCAAATCATTGGTTCAATATATTTTCCAACACTATAATCTAAAATTATAAGTAGAATTAATTTTTTTGTTATTTAATTTAGAAAGTTGTTAAAGGTTCAAGAATACCATTTAAAATTTCTAAATCTATTGTTCTTAGCATATCATCCCATATAATAACTTTCAAAGAAGGATATGATTCTTTGATAAATTGTGTTATAGTTATTACATGATCTAAGAATAAAGAAGCTTTCCCATATTTGCTTGAACCAACTCTTTTAGTACATTGTGGACAAAGACCCATGTGCCAAACTTCGTCTGCACCAATATGTAAATATTTAATATCCGAATGAAACTCCACTATTTGTCTGATCATAGATTTCACCAAAGATTGAGTTTCTGGATTGGAAGGACATATAGAACTGGGAAACGTTGGCACTTCTCTTAATACTTTCCATTCTGAATGTTTTAAAACAAACTACAAATTGAATTGAATAAAATTTTAATAAAAAAGATAATATAATAATATTAAGTCACTTACTTCCATGTGTCCAAAAATTTGAATAAGTGGAATTATAGACAGCCCTGAATTTACTGCTAATTGTAAAATTTGATGAGCTTCGTCTGCAGTATATCCACTTAAAGTATTATGCGGACCACTGCTGCCTATTGGTAAAAGTGTTGTAACATATGGAAATGTGTTTTCCCATTCAAGTAATATTCCTGTAGCACCCCATTCTTTCAACAATGGAAATAGCTGAAGTGAAATTTATAATTATATATATATATATATATATCTATATATATATAAACATTTCAAAAGTATTATTAATTAATAAATATTATACAAAAATAAGAAAGTTATATTACAAAGAAAAAGCTTAATACATAAGTTAAAAATATAAATGAATACATGATACAAAAATATTATTATTACATAGATATGCATGTGTATTTAACCTTTTCAAAATAAATGACTCGAGGAGGAGCACCTTTCAAATCAATATGAACTAGCCTGCAATTAAAATATAATTTTCATATATTTTTTATATTATCACAACATTTAAAAATTATCAAGTTGCAGCTTTAAATTTTATATACTTCTATTCTTCTACCTGTGCTGACCAAAAATGGTAGTTGTTTTGTTACGTCTAACTTTCTTATCATATGTATAATCCTGAAAATGACGCTTTCGATGTTGCTCACGTTCATTTTGATTATTTTGGGAATAATTACTATTCATAATAAAATCACAATTCAATAATATTATGTAAATGAATGCCAACAATTAAAATTACTAGATTGAAGAATCAAAAATATATAATAACCGATATAATTGTATAAAGGACAGAAAGAACATGAAATTGGGACTTGCGCACTAAAATTTTCTTTTTTTAAAAAAACTAAATTTCATGGACTTGTAAATAGTGAGCAGTAAGACAGGTTTTTTATTCAAAAACATACAAATAATAAATCAATTCTTTCATTCAATTCTTATGTTTACATAGATTTAAATAAATAAAAAATCTGTTAAATGTATTGAAATGAAAGTTAATATACATATATTTTATTTTTGTATTGTGTTTTTCACGTATGTGCATGGGTGCGCCCGCACGCGCGTATACATGCATTTCTGAATGTTATATGATTCTTAAATTATTCTTAAATTATATGAATGTACACACAGCATAAATAACTCGTACAATTTATATAATAAATAGTAATTAATTTATTAGGATTTTAACGTGGATGAATCATTGGCAAATTGGAAAAAATTACACAAATCCAATGCAGCTAGAAAGTTTAATTCCAGTGTTTACTAAGTTAGTATTATATGAATAAAGTAAAATTCTTTTATTTAATAAAAAATGAATAATATCTATATTTACAGTATGCTTATTGTTATATCTGCATATAACAATAATTGTATTAATATATAATTATTGTTATATCTGCATTTAACAATAATTGAACAAATTCCGTCATATTTACATATAGTCTTATATTCACAGTATGCTAATTGAATTATCGACACTCGAGAGTTATTTACGCGTTCAAATGGAACATTATTATTTTACGGCAATGTTAGATGAATGGATTGGCACAAACATTGATCCCATGAAGGCAAAATTAATGAAATTGAAAAAAACGGCAGAGAATCAAATCAAGATAAGCAGCAATTTATAAACTATATCATAAAAATAACAAAAAAATATACTAAAAATCTGAAAACTAAAAATATATTTAACATAATATCTATAGGCACAATTATATTGTATATTTTAATTATGTGCATGTGCATGTGCATAATATATAGCGTTAAAAAAAATGAATGTCTGAATTTTTCACGTATTCTCGCGTTCGTGGAGGAAAACCCATTCATTAAATTCAGAAGCCTTTCTTTCTTATTGTTTCCGGGCATAATGTCGGGAGGCGTCGCTACACGAAGTTAATAAATTCTTTTAAATAAAGTACATTCGAGGGCGAAAGATGTCGAAGTTCGACGACCGACACGCACAGATTCTCGATGAGCAATTTGAGGACATCTTGTATCGGGTTAAACCATATCTGTTGAATTTGGCGATATCAAGCGACTCCCGTCATTGCCGGCTTTGGCTTGAGCGTTTCGACCATGCCGAGGACCAGCGCAGCCTCAGGAATGACTATCTACTGGAGCTTTATCGACAACTGAAAAATGGTTACCTGAGAGTGCCTTTCAATAAACCGCCAGAAAACGGCAGGCTTGTGCCTCTCTCAAAGTTCCATCGTTTGGTACACGCCACTTCGTTATTTTATTACCGAATCCCCTTCAACCACAACCTAAAATGCCATTGTACCATTTTTAATTTGTGGTTAAGTATTAATCTAATCGTAAGAGAGCCCATGAAAACGAACGTGATTTCCTTTCTTTATTTGTTACGTTCCGCCATACCGCTTACAATATTTTTCAAACTTAAAAAAAGGCTATCACATTTCGTAGCTCAGTGCTCGCAAATTCAATAGCTACAACTGAATTGATGCATTAGGTAACGAGTTCGTCGTGTAACGAATTAACGGAGACGAGTCCCTCTCTTTGCGAACCACAGCGCAGTTGGCCCAAGCCAAGGTGTAAGAGCCTAAACCGAGACATACGCAGGATCAGAACTTTTCCGAGGCATGAAGAAGTACATTCGAGTACTCCCCGTGGAGATATGCTCTCGTCGCCGACAGTTCACTTTCATGAGCAAAGTAGCAGGTTCTACCTCTCGATATTTTCATTTGAACATATGGATGAATGTTCTTTGATTTTAATCGGATAAATCGAAGGCTTATCGAATTTAAGAATCGCTTATGCTGAATACTTTATTACTGTAAAATTTTTTTTTCTTGCTACCACCCATATATTATAATTATTTTCTATTGATTTTTATTTATTTGATGCTATTGCCTCAATTGTTTTTTTGTAAATTATTGCATTTAATTTTTATTCTTTATTATTGTCTCTTAACATTTTTTATCTTGATGTATTATCGTTTCTTTATTAATCTTTTGTTATTTTTCTATAATTTCTCCAATATATTGAAAATAATTTTTTAATAAATTACATTAATCGCTAAAACTATCATCGTGATAATTATTTCATTATTTTATTTTATGTATCGGAGAGTTTTAATTCAATCTTAGTAATGTTTTTAGTGAATGAATGAAATTAACTTAATATTAGTACTTAGACAATATTTTTTTTAACCAAATGACATAATAAAAGTCTTAAAATAACATTATTATTTAATGAAAATTTATAGTTACTTTTTGTCGAATAGCAATAATAAGGTTCTATATTATAAATGTCCAACTAAATTTTAGAAAAATTTTCTTTTATTATTTAGAATAAATTATATCATACTTAATATGTTCAAAATATATAAATATACGTGGTTGAAAATTGTATTTTAATCTTAGAATAAATCGTTCGATTAACTTAAACAGTTATAAAAACAGTCTGAAAAAAACATACGTGCGCACAGAGAGAGAGAGAGAGAGAGAGAGAGAGAGAGAGAGAGAGAGATGTGTATAAACACCCATACTGGTATATGTATACTTTATAGTTCTAAGATATAATTTGAGAATTAAAGGTAGTTCGAAATTCCAAGGTGTGAGAAGAACTTACTCAGGACTTACAGAAATCGAATAGAAACATTGAGTACCATTGTGGAAGAATTGGAGAATCAAAATGAAAAATTAAAGCAGAAATTAATGTATTATCACAACGTTTCAACATCCGACGAAATACCGCATTTACATTTGCGCATTAAGCAATTGATGACAGAAATTACAAGTTTAAAAAACAAGTGAGTATTTCTTGTTACTGAGAATTCTAAATATTTTCGAACGAAAGAAAAGCTTTGCGTGTTTAAGGCTAATGGAGGTGCACGAACTGAAAACCATACTCGAAAAACATCACAAGGAAATCGTCGATCAATACAAGATTAAAATGACGGAACATTTCAAGAAAATGAAACATCAGTTGGAAAATGCACGAAGTGAAAATGAGGATTTGAATAATAAAATCGCTGTAATTGAAACGAAGTTACAAGAGTTGAACCGAGAAAAAGTAAGCAAAGATTCTATTTATTTAATGTGACAAATTTTTACCATTCGTTTAAAATAAAATATATGATATTCAAATGGAAATTAAAATTTATTTTATAGAAAGAGTTTGTAAAAGTAAGCGAAGAACAGTGGCTTCATAAGCTTGAATGTACGAAAATAGAATACGAAAAAATGTTGCAAGAAAAAGAGTTACAAATAAATTCGCGAGACGAAATGGTTCGTCAAAAAGAGGTACAATTGACCCAAAAGCTAAATGAAATCGATTCTTTGTGCGAACAAATAAAAGAGCTTCAGCAGTTGGTTGAAATAAAAACTCAAGATGTAATGTATTCGTGCAATCTTTATACATTTCTTAGAATACCATAGTGCGTTTAAAGATTTAATTGTTTATGATAGGATGGAAAATTACAATCAATGCTCATAGAGCAGCATAAAAGTATAATGGAAGAATTATCTAAAATGAGAAATAATATTGAGATAGCTTCGCGTCAGCAAACCGAAACTCATCAACAAGAGAAAGCGCTATTAAAAAAAAACGTGATGGCAATACGAAAAAATTGTCCATAAAATATAAGAAGAGTATGGGAAGAATCTTTATCATTTTATTCAAGTATTTTTAAGGATAAGAATAACGAATTCTTTTGTTATTGAATTCAGGAAAAAGTGCGCGCGCGTGTAAGCGCACATGTGTACATTTTCATTTGAATGTAATTCTCACATTATTCATTAATACCAAATGATAATATTGTGATGTCTTAAATTTTTTAATTTTGTATAAATTAACAGGAATTAATCAAATATTTAATAAATATATAAATTTTGTTATATCGTTTGTAATTTATTTTACTTTTTTAGCACGTTTTATTTATTATTTACTTATGTTTAAAAGCATTAACTAAAAAAATGCTACGCCATTAAGAACGGAATATAAAGATTAATAATCTACAAACACGACCTCATAAAAAATACGATTCATTACAAATGGCATTATCGGATAAATATTGCAAAAAAAATTTCTATGACAATATAAGTAAAATTTATAAATTCATTTAAATGTGCGGCAGTTGATCTTTACATTAAAAACTTTTACGTTAACATATTATACGTATATGAAGTATTAAACAATTCCATAAAATAATACTTATTTTTTTACAGAAAGTATAATCTTTATGAAGTCAAATTAGATAATTTAAAAAAAATAAAATTTCATGATAAAATTATACTATTATGTATATATAATTAATTACAATAAACGTTTTTATTATTAATCTTTATTATGAAAATGCAACGAATTCGAATTTCATTATTTGAATAGGAAATAGTAAGTGGGCGCTGCACGCGCAGCCTATTAATTATGCTCGTTTCGTTTTCTCAGGAGGAATTTGTTTATACGAATGGTATCTGATTAGCAACGGTTGCTATGATAATTTTACTTTAATAATTACTTGTTTTTTATTTTAAATTATTTATTTATCATTATTTAATTTTTTTAATATATATATATGAATCTATCTTTAATGATTGTAAGCAAATACAAACAATAAAATGTCATTGTATTTTGACACTAGAGTACAAAACCTTGATGTGACATCAGTGAGTTCTATTATAGCATGGCATTCAAATTTGCCACTTCTTGCTGTTGCTGTGCACTCCCAAGAAAAAGGTTGCTTTATTAGTGTTTACGACGATCAAGGAGAACATTTATCCGAGGTTAAAGCCTCTGGACATTCTGTGGTTCCAATCACAGCTCTTGCTTGGCATCCTGAAAGGAAGTGGTTAGCTGTTGCATGGGAAAATGGAGAAATTTGTGTATAATAATATTGAAATAATTGATAATTTAATATTTCTAACATTAATTAAATATTAATTTTTAAATGTTTTTTTTAATTTTATGAATGAAGTTATGGTGTTACGCTACAGGGTCAAGTGAATTTAGAAATATTGTCACTCCTCATAAATACCCAGTATCAATTTTACAATGGAGTCAGTATGGAGGTCACTTAGTATCAGGAGATAATAGTAGTTCTTTGGTGGGATGGAAAGTGGATGAAGAAGATCAGTTATTTATGGTTTTTCATCATATATTACACCAGTCATTGACTCATATTACATTTAAAATTTCACCTACTAAACCTACAGTTGATATGAGGTACGTTTATCATATTAATATGGAAAGTATATTTGATTCTTAATTATATATTGTTATTAAGTATAGATAACATTTGAAATATTATTAATGAATTAAATAAAAAACTATTTTAATTTAGTAGTCTGGCAAAAGCAGCTGTAGCTGGAGATGAGAGAGCTTTAGATTTATTTAGCTCTTGGAGGCCTAGAACTGCTATGCCTCTTTCAGTTCTTACCAAACATGATAATTATGCTTTTTATGTTGGAACTGCTAATGGTATTATTTATTATGTAGATAATGAAGGCCAATGTAGTCAAGTTTTGAATTTTGAAGGAGCTACTATTTATTGTCTATTACATCATCAAACGAGAGAATCTATTGTTATAATGAGTGAAGGTTTACATATTGGTCACTTTCAAACAGATCCTGTTACAGGTCAACTTACAGAGTTGACAAAGGTAAACAAATTTAAGATTAATTATTTTCTGAATTTCTTTAAATAGTTATCAATAATTTAATCATATTTCATACATTTAATTGTAGGTGAAATTAAGTGCTAGAAGTGATATGACTAAAAATGGACCATCCTTATGTTGGGCTGGTATTAATACACTGGCAATTTTAGTTGGAGAACTAATGATTAGAATGTGGGATCTGCACACTGGAGATACTTATATTTTAACTCCATCCAATAATTCTTCTTCAGAAAATTATTCTAAATCACAGGAAGTGTGTACAAGTTTATCTTTTTGTAAACATAATGGCAAATATTCAATTTCTACAAATCATAATTATTATAATTGCAATTCTAATAACATTTTATATCATGTGCCTTATAATATTGATTTTAGATACTTTAGCTGCTGGTACAAATTTAGGCACAATATATTTCTGGAAGCGTAAATTTCAAGGTGTAGAAAATGATGAAAATTCTTGGCCTACCTTCCCAAATTTGTGTTCTATTCCTGGCACTGTAAAACAAATAACTTGGGGGGCGATTTCGCTTCGAAGTCCTTTATTAGCTGTAAATTGCATTACAAATGTTTACATTCTCCATCAACAATCAATGTGTGCCGTCTACAATGATAAAATTTGTGCCAGTCAAGTGAGTCCAATGCAACTGCATATTGAAATACAAGAATCAGGTGAAGATATTTTATTATCTTAGTTTATATAACTTTTATCATATAAGAACCAAAATATCTCAGTAAGAGATATAAAGAATTATAAGAATTTATTACAATATTTATGGGTATGATTTTTATTTTTTCAATCAATTTTATTATAAAGTATTTTATTTTTAACATTGAATTAATTTATTCATTTTATTTGTTTTTAGAAAATCAATTTTTCATCTTAAAAACAGATATTCAGATACAACTGGTTGCTGTGAATAGAAATTATATTGCAGTATCTTCTGGTAAATATGTAGTAGTTTATAAAGTCAGTGAAGATAGACCACCAAATACAACAGTACTTTTGAGCTTTAGTTGTAATACTGAAAAACTTCTCATTCATGATTCTATATTGATTGTTTTAACATCACAAGTGAGTACACTCAGACGATGATATAATTTTTATATCATATATATCTGCTTTCAATTTAGTTCATAAATTTATTTTAATTACCTGAATACTGAAGATAATTCAACTAAGATCAATTGAAGATGGAACAATAATACAAACCCTTCCAACATTGTCAGCAGAAGGTGAACCTATAATAATGGAAATGACCGGTGATTTTTTGACTGTGGCTTCGTTGAATGGCATCTTAAAAATTTGGAATCTGGGAAAAAGGGAGGCAAAACTTCATACAAGACCTATGGCTACTTATGAGGTTATCAATGATTTTGCCGAAATTATTGAGGCGAAATGCAATTCAGATTGCAGATATGTATCCATAACTGTGGCAATGGCTAATTTGATGCCCAGCCCAATACTTTATGTATGGGATATTGAGAATGATCAAATTCATGAATTCGATTTCTCAAAAAATGATATCGAAGATGAATCTACTTTGTAAATTTTTCTTTTATAAGATGATATAAAATAATATTCTTAAATTTTTAAACTTAAAAATATTTAATGATTTAACTAATTATTTTGTAATACATTGATTAATTATTTATTTAAAATTATCTGTCACGTACAAATGCTTTTTACTTTTCTCAATAACAAATTTCAAAATTTTCAGAGTTGCAAAATGTAAGGGTAGATTAGTAACAGCCCATTGCTGGGACAATGAAGATCCAAGGCTCTTAATTTGTCAAGCTCAAAAACCAGAAAGTATAAATGTTAAATCAACAAATGAATTAATTGATGATCAAGTAATTTTATAATAAATTTATTTTATTGATAAATTTAATTGATATTTATTTAAGTTTAATTATAAATTAATATAAAAAAATAGGACTATAATTTATAAAGGTATCGATATTAAATCTGTACTGATAGTACAATATTTTAATTCGTGTAAATTTGTTCAGTATTTTATTCAGCTTGAATTTTTCATTTATGTACTATTGATATTCAATAGCTATGAAATTTTATATTCTAGTGTATATATCTAAATATGAAAAATAATTGTACAGGTAAATATCGCTAACGTTGTTTTAATAACGATGTTTATAACAACGGAACATGGAATTGTTGTGCATGATATTCGATCCATAAAGGACGATAATTGTCGTCTTCTAGGAGTACAGTCGCCCTTCGTTTTAATATTGGACTCTGAAAAATCCATTGGTAGTAAAACAGTACGTCTCTTAATGCGTGATTTCGAGGAACTTGACTCTTGTGATTCAACGATTAAACGAGCTATTCTTGACTTCAGTTTCTACCTTAGTGTTGCCAATATGGACGAAGCTTTTAAGGTTTAATTATGCTCCAGAATTAAATTAGTATAAATTAATTTAAGCTATGATACTTATTACAAATTATTATATATATTTATTTTCTTTAACCTTTTTATTTTTAATTATTGAATTTAATAGGCTATTAAGACAATACAGAACGAAGCTGTGTGGAAAAGTTTAGCAAAAATGTGTGTAAAAACGAAGCAATTAGATATGGCGATATTGTGCCTAGGGCATATGAAGCAGGTACGGAGCGTGAGAGCACTCCGAGAGGCGATTCTGGATGAAAACCTCAACCTGGAAGCAAAGGTTGGGATTCTTGCTGTCGAGCTGAAGCTTTATGTATGTATACAGTATGTCGAGATGATGCTTTATGTATAAAGTTTTATGAACATAGATTTAAATTAATATTCGTGTTATTTAAAATCATTTTTAAAATTCAATTTTTTGAAAATTTACTAATATCGATTGTAAATTATTAAGAAATAATAATAAGAAGTAATTATACTAATTAATCACTGAAATTAATTATAATTTATTTTTATAGAACGATGCTGAACGATTATTTCGAGAAGCAAACAGATTCGATCTTTTAGGATCTTTACTGGAGGCTCGTAATAAATTTAAAGAAGCCATTGAATTAGCAAAAAACGAGGATAAAATTCGAGAGAAACTGAGCTATTATAATTACGCGAAGTCTCTAGAATTTGAAGGCAAAATTTCCGAAGCTATTGAAATGTACACAAAATCCGATTGTCATAGATTCGAAGTACCTAGGATGCTACTTAGCACTCCGAAAGAACTACAAAATTATTTAAAAAATTCTGACGATTTGTACGTTGTACATGTTTATTGAATTATAATAAAATTTAATAAATTTATAATTATCAACATATAATATTTATACTTTATATTATCAGAGAGATAAAAAATTGGCACGCGCAGTATACGGAGTCGACGAATGACATGGAAGCGGCGCTTGAGTTGTACGAACAGGCTCAGGATACTCTGTCAATGACGCGGCTGCTATGCTTCTTTGGTCGTGATGATGAAGCTTGCGACCTCGTCGTCAAGAGTAAACACGCGGCCTCAATTTATCATCTAGCAACATACTATGAAGCTCGGGGAAATTTCACTCAAGCAATACATTTCTACACAATGTCCCGGGCTTACACCAATGCAATACGCGTCTGCAAGGAAAACAATCTGTTCAATGAGCTCTGGCCACTGTCAATGATGGCACCAAAACAAACACAGATCGATGTCGCCAAGTTTTATGAAGAAATTGATCAGGTACATTACAAAAATCACAGATGAAATACAATTTTTTGTTATATAAAATTAAATAAAAGAATAACAAGGCACATTTAGTATTATAAGCTTAAAATAAGTTTATTAAGGGTATGTAAAAAATACTGATATAATTTATTATTTTTAATTTACGGTTTATTTTGTATGAATAGTTTTTCAATATTTTATACATTTTGTTAATATTTTACAAGTACATAATTTGAATTTTTTAAATTGAATTTTCAATTTTAATTTTAAATTTCGAAACATTTCTTTGTTGTGTCAATAAATCTATAAATTTAAAAACTATACATTGATTTTTGTTTATATTATATATCTTTATAGGTAGATAAAGCGATATTACTTTATCATAAGGCAGGATTTTTGAAAAAGGCTCTTGAACTTGCATTCAAAACACAACAGTTCAATGCATTGCAACTGATAACCATGGATGTGAACGCTGATTCTGATCCAGAACTTATCGAAAAATGCGCTGAATATTTTGTTCAAAATTCACAAATCGATAAAGCTGTTGATTTATTAGCTACTGGAAAAAATTATACAGAGGCACTGAAACTTATTCAAGATTATGGTGTTATTTTATCCGAAGAATTAGGTATATTAATTATTCTCAGTTTATCTTGATAATAAAATATTAAAATATTGTTTTATGATTAGAAAATATGTATATATAACTTTGAAGTTTATACATTAATAATGTATATTCGATTTTTTTTATATCGATAAGCTTTTTAAATTACTATTAAAACACTATCTTCTTAAACGGTATTGTTATTTTAAATTATCCGAACTTGATTTATAATAATAAAGTATTGACATTTATTTATGATATAAAATATTTTAAAAACTAGTTATTAAAACATTTTGTATCGATAGCGGAAAAAATGACACTGGATAAGACAGAGAAAGATCTGGACAGAGAACAGGTGCGCATAGCGACTCTTGAAAAAATTGGTGAAATTGCATTGAATCAAGGCAACTACCATCTAGCAACAAAAAAATTCACTCAAGCCGGTAATAAGTTCCGAGCAATGAAAGCTCTTCTTAAATCCGGTGATACAGAAAAGATCTGTTTTTTCGCACAAGTTTCAAGACAGCGCGAGATTTACGTTATGGCTGGAAATTACTTGCAGTCTCTAGATTGGCAGAATCAGCCCGAAGTACTAAAAAATATCATTAACTTTTACTCTAAAGGAAAAGCCATGGATTTGCTGGCCAACTTTTACGTTGCTTGTGGTCAAGTCGAAATCGATGAGTTTCAGAATTATGAAAAGGCACTCGATGCGCTCAACCAGGCAAGTAAGTGTCTTGCCAAGGTAATCGACTCCAAAGATCCAGATACGCATAAGAGGGCCGTTAAGATTGTTAATGACAGGATGTTGATCATCAAGAAGTATTTAGAAATCAAAAAGTATTTTTCTATAATATACGTTTTAAAATAACATCCAATTTGTTTTGAACTCCAACATTACAACATTCTACAAAGAAATAAATTAGTATTTTTATTAATAAACTAATAATTAAGAATTCAAAATTAAATTAATTATTTAAGGTTTCATTATTGTTATGTATTTCAACTATTTAAAATTCATGTTAATATATTATACATACAAATATTTAAAAGAAAAATTATTTGTGAAATCATTTATTTTCAGATTATTTGATAGTGGAGAAACAGAGATGGGAATAAACCATATACGTTATTTACTTGATTCCTATGGAGTTGAGCTTGAACAATCGATTCGCCGAGGTGATCTCTTTTCCATGATAACTCAACACTATGCAAGTATCGGTGAAATGGAAAAGGCCAGAATTGCAATTGAAGAGCTAAATCGTTTAATACCTGGGATTAATTTAAGTTATTACATTAATGCCAATTTACTCGAGAGTCTCGGTTTTAAGATTAATGTTGTAAAGCAAGAATCCGAGGAACGAGAAGATGACATTGAGGAATTGCTAGGAGAGTAAATTAAAATATTTACAAAAACAATATTAAACAGCTGTAATTTAAATGCACAGTTCTTGAAAATATAAGAGAAGATATAGAAGTGATATTATTTGTAACATAAATTTAGAAAATGGCAAAACAAAATAAAATATTTAAATATTTAAATATACTTAAATGCATTTCAGTTTCAATAATAATTATTGATTTAAAGTAAAAAATTAAGTTTTTCTTAATTATATAGAAGTAGTAAAAATGTTTTATTAATCTAAAATATAAAAAATAATTTAATTTTTTTTAATACAAAATTTTTATATTTATTTTAAACGCAATTAATTTCATAAATAAATATCGAATAGTTATCTAAGTTATATAATTATTCTTAAAATTACATTGTTTTTTAAGTTTTCTATTAAAACTGGATGCTATATAGAAATAGTTAATTTTTTTTAAGTTAATAGTCTACAAAAGTATTTAACAGATTAATCCTAAAAGCAAAAGTTTAAAATTAATTTTTATTTATACTTGTGTCAGTTAATATCAATATTAATTCATATTAATTCGTTATATAATTCATCAACAATTAATTAGAATAATGAACAATTTCTAAACATCTTACAATAACCAAATATAATATAATAGATTATAATGAAATGTATTTATATTTTGTGAAATGTTATTGTTAATGAATTATTATTAATGAATTTTAGTATTATTTCTTTGAATTATAACAGTTCTAAATTTATAACTATTCAAATTATTAAAGAAATTGTATTAATGTATTTAAATGAAAAAGAAAAATCTGAATATTGAATAATATATTACCACGAGCTTTTGTTTATAAAACTAATCATGACAAATATTTGTATTTCTGAAAATTTTGTACTTCTATTGTACACTACATAAAACAATTCAATTTAATTAAACATTTCCAGTATTTCCAATATTTTATAACTGATTTAAATATTTATATTAACATGAATATTAATAGCTTAGATATTTAAAATTATGCAGATACGAAATATTATTAAATAGACTTATTGGTTATAATTAAAAACTTTTAAATTATATATTTACATATTCATTAGTTATAAGTTAAAGGTAAAATTTTGTATTATTGGGGTATTGATATATTGAATTATATAATTTGACTGTGAAATATTTGATTAGATTTTTTAATTGTTCAAATATTTATTTTTAACATATATTTTCTAAACACTCTGATTTTCTTAAATTTTATAGATTTAATTTAAAAAAGATGTAGAGCGTATAATAAAATTCAGCAATAAAAATATATTTTAATAAGTGTCAGTGATGATTCCTACTGTATTAAATAATAGTAAAATTTATCCAAACTATTTACTTTAACCAAAAGTAGACAACTATTATAGGAAAATTATTTTACTTAATATTCATATTTTCTATTCTATGTTATACAATGTTATACAAATTTATCTATACATTGTTATAAGGAACAAAATTTAATTATATGCTTACCATTAAATTTCATTGATTTCTAATTGAGTATAATTTTAAATGTATAAAATTTATATCATCTTCTAATAAGCATCAAAAGTATATTTTTATATGTGTTTTTACTAATCTCCAGTTATATTATAACTTGAATAACAAAAAAAATAATATTGAATTTATTTTAAAGATTTTTTGTATGTATAATTTTCTTTTTTGTGAATTAATTTTTAATTGTTAAACTAAAATATAAAATTCTATATGTATATTAAATATTATTAATTAAATGATTAAATTCAATAAGTAATATTTATCCTTTAATTTATATTAAGAAACGTGTGCATATAAATATCTTTCATTGAAATAAAAAAATTTGCATTACAAAATTTTAGTATATAAAATTACATAATCTATCCATGCTTACAAATTATTTAATATTAATAAAAATACAACACAAACAGAAATTGAGTTACAAAATATCATAAAACACTCATTTGACATCTTTGGACTTACGATCTAATTAAATCTTAGAATCTACACTTTACAGTTTATCTTTCATTGTTTCGATAAAATTCTGATTATTCTTAATTATTTAAATCACATTTTTGTTATTGATCAAGGTAAAATGCTTGACAGCCTCACTTATTTGACGTAGATCATTTTTTTTAAACCGAACTTTAAATGTTTCATGTTGACTTAAAATGTTTATTACAAATAAATTTCAAGTCCACTTCAATTTTATTATATATATAATTTAAAAACCGTTTATAATCAATACATTACATTTAATGATCTAAAAAAGAAATAATAGTTTTCATACCATAAGAACATTCAAGTTCAATTTTAAGAAATTGTTCTAATTCTATGTTATGCATTCACCAATCAGTTTGAAAATCAATACAAATTTAAAAAGCATTCCACATAAAATCGTAGAAAGGCTTAATGATCGATCAAAACAAAGGAAAACGATAAGAATAGTTTTTTGATATATTGAGTCTCCTTTACGCAGATTTCTCGGGAGTGGGCTTTTTACAAAGCGTGACATCTGCCTCCTCGTCCTCGGTTTTTCTTTTTTTACGCACAAGATGTGAGATGTCACTTGCGGGCTTAACTTCTCGAGATACAGCCGAAGTGCTCGTCGATGATGATGAGGATGGACCGCACTCGCCACTGGGTCCAGCACCGTTTGAACAGCTACCACTAGCTACTTGGTTCTTTATACCCTGAATCAACAGTTTGCACGCCTGTTGTTTGAAATCACGCATATCCGTAATCTTATCTTGGATTTCTGGAAGAAGCTCTTTCAGTTCTTTGATTTCACCCTCGATCGTATAAAATGGATCGTCGGACTTCGGGGAATCCGTCATCATCTCTAAATCTTGGATACGAGACTCTAGTAAGCTTGTTGCTTTCTTGAACTGCTCAATACTCGCGTCGAATTCATTACCCAGGGAGTATGCAAGACCTGATAAATATTAATTTTTATATTGTTTTCTAATAATAAAAAGTTTATTATAAAAACTTTGAAATTGTTAAAATTGTTTATATGTCAATGAATAATTCAATAACATTATTTATTATTTGGTATTTAAAATTTATTTCAAAATTATATTAACTTATTAGTAACAACAATTATATTATACATATATTTTTAGGTATTAGTTTCTTTGTTGTAAATTATAATTAATGCTATGAAAAATATTAGCAATAAAATTTACGAATTTTTATTTAGTATAAATTAGTAACAATAATATCAATAAATTTTAAACACACCTAATTGATAATGTGTTTCTGCCATACTTCTTGGATCTACTGATTCAATTCGATGAAGCAAATCAAGACAAGCATATAAGTCTGCTAAAGCTCCAGGTTGATTTCCACTTTCCATTGCCACTTCACCTAGAAGTCTATGAGCTTCTGCTAAGTGCTTCCATCCAGATGGTCCCCGCTTAAGTAATATTATTTTAGCCAGTTCTAGTACTTCCCAAGCAAGCTAGTATTAATAGAATAATGTAATTTAAATATTTTTATTTTCTTGTTAATACAGAATATATTAATTAATTGATTAAATGTATATATTACATTTTTTTGGAAACTATAATTTATATTACAACCAATATTAACAATTAAATTTAAGAATTTTTAATTTATATTAATTTCTAACAAAATTTTTTTTTAATATAGTATAGAACTATTGAAATGAGTTTAAAATATCAATAATAATATTTACATAAGATAAATAAAAATTTATTTAACTGTAATAACATAAAAGTACAACAAAAAAGGTAAAATAAGTTTATTTTTATAATAAATAAAATCCTCACACTATGAGAGATAACATTAGTTTCTATGTTTTTAAAATAAGAAAAATAAATAAAAGAATTTGCCTTGATGCAACAAATACCAAACAAATTTTTTTTGCTTTTTTCCTATTTTCTTAAACGTATTTAAGTTATTATATTAAAATAAAATAATAATATTATACGCCTATAAGTTACTTCTTAATTGAAGCTATTTTATTAAAAAAAAAATAATGTGACACACCTGTAAGTTACTGCTTGAATCATCATCCTCATCATTCTCATCTTCATCTGCATCATCATCACCGTTCTCGAGTGAGTCTCCATTATGAGTTGATGTTGAAGCTTTACCATTTAATATTTTACTGGAGCCTGCAATATAATTCTTGGAATTGGATAACGACGATGATGATTCTGCAATATTATTCAATGTAACTGCTGAAGAAGAGCTTGGCATCTGCTCAACTGTGCGATTTTCGTGCTTCTCATCAGAGTTCAACTTTGAGGTAGTTCCTTCAGTGAGTTTTTGTTCTTCATTGTCTTCTTTGTCCTTTCTGTGTACATAAAACCATTATTCTTATCTACTATTTTATCTTCTATTTATAACATATTATGTTTAGTCAAGTTTAATTGTAAAATACGATACTAAAATATATATTAATTCATTAGTAATTTACTCGCTAGACTCATCTTCTTCGCCTTCTTCTTCACCTTCTTCCTCTTCAGTATCATCAGTACCAGGCACCCCTGCTCCTAAGACTCCAGCTTCCTCACGTGATAGACAAAGGAGTGAACGTCCATAAAAAAGGTAGGGCTCACCAAGTTCATCAGATATCTCACCATGTTGAACTGCAAGCATACCACAGCCTTGAGCCAAAGCTGTCACAGCCATACTGTAGTCTCGTACTAGAAGGTGTCTTTTCCCTTGGGATATCGCTTGTGCTGGATCATTGTAGGTTGTCATTTCTGAGATATCCGCCATCTACAAATTAATTTGTTTACTTTTACTAATTTTCTTTCTTCTTTTATGGATTAATGGACTTTAAAATTCCATTTATTGTCCATACTATTCATTACTCAATATTTTAAAATATAAGTTTTTCCTAAATTATATATTAATGTAATATATCATAAAACTTATCATACATAATTCAACATATTATTATATTATTTTTAATATCAGATAACTTATTAATAATTATGCAATACAAATTATTTCATTGTATAATAATTATTAATTTACCTTATATAATATATAACATATTTAATAAATATAACAAATTTATATTTGATTCAATGTCAAATTAATAATGATATATTCTATGGCCAGATATTTTTACCTTTTATTTATAAAGAAAACCAATAAATCGATACAATATACCAATATAAATCAATAAAATGGGATTATTAAATAATGTAAATATAGAAGAAATAAATAATTATTTTATTAAATAAATTATCTTACAAAAAATTTTTAAATGCAAAAAAATATTCGCATTTGCTTATTTTGAAAATTCGATATCATTTTAGCTTAAGCTAATGATTTCCATATTACTTAATTTATTCTCAACGATTCCCATGTAAATAAACCTAACCTTTTAATCCAACTTCTCAGAGTAACGGTCATAAGTCAAATCGTACACAATTGTATATACGCCTATCTGTCCTTCATATGAATATTCACATTTGCTACACTTTTCGCGCGCCTTTTGTGTAGTTTTGGGGTTTAATATTATTTATTCATACTAAATAATTTTATACATTGTTTTGCTTAACTGAATCTACCTAAAAAAAGGGCACTATAAATATTATGCGTTTATATATTATTAAATAAAATATTGATAGGCAATGATATTTATCTTTATATAATAAATTTGTATATAATATATTTAATAATGAGAATAAATTAATTGAAATAAAATTTCTACTCTATATACTTGAAAAGTATAAATAAATCAACAAAAATCGATTGAAAAAAGTATCAAAAGCATCACAGAACGTGGCGGTATCCTAACCTCTTTTTGAAATTGTCAGTTTTAAAAAATCAATAAATGTAACACTCTATAAAGATGCATTTTATTAAAGCCATAACGTAAAGTTCAATTTTCATATTTTGTGGAAAATTGCAGAATTAAAATACCAATAAAAAATCTACTCTGTCAAGATAAAAAATTAATAGAATCATTTGTCTGTCTCTTACGAGTGAAAATCCTTAGCTATACGGCTTTCACACAGTAACGTACCGTGCTACACGATTAAGATGCAGTAGCCACTGTTTACGTCTTTATAATAATAAACCAAGATTTTGAAAATTAAGATACAGCGTTTGTATTCATAAACTGAGTACTATGTTGTGCACTAACTTGGAACTGAACTTACAAATTTCAATTAAAGAATCAAGAATCAAGCTTTTATAAATATGTTAGGTAGTGCGTATGATACATGAAATTGGGAAAAGGGACTTACAAAACTGGCAGCGCAGCGCCATCCAACGTGAAACCTATTTCTTAGAACTAAGCATGTGATTTCAATATTCTACAGGATAATATGTAAATGCTTAGTTAATCGTTTTACCAAGAAGTAGTACGATATTCAATATAAATAAAAAGAATATAAATGTATTTAAAAATGGAAGGCAAATTAAAAAAATCTTATTTTTTAAGAAATAGTCATTTAAAATAATTCATATATATATATATATATATATATATATATATATATAAAGTATAACTAATTTTAAGAAAATACAAAACATAATTAAGTAAATCTTAATCAATCATTTTGATTTATAAAATACTGTATAAGGTATATAAATTCAAATTTTTTAATTTGCAATAACATTTTCTCGCGTTTTATCTTTTAGACAAGATAAATCTTTGATCATCAAGCATTAGAATAGGACGATATACTCTCTGAAAATGAAAAAATAAAATACAAAAGTTCTACAAACATATATTTATATTTGTATAGTATTATAATTTCATATAATTAATTCTTTAACGCCTACTTTACACGCGACACTAGTACGATTTTTATTAGATATTTGTAAAAATTTTTTATTAAATTAAATATTAAATATTAATTGTAGAATTTCATTGAACTTTCTTTTGCTTGGTGATATATTTTATAGCATGAAAGGATAGGGAAGTAATTTTCAAATAATAATTTTACGTTATATTAATATACGTTAAGATTATGTTATATGTTATACTTGTAAACGATTTATTATTGTTAATTATATTATATGCATTCTATATATACAAAAAATGAGTAATTTTTTTATTTACATCAACTGTGATTATATCTGCTGTGGCAACATTATTTAAAATTCTAATATTTGACATATAGTATATTACTAAATTCATGTAGATTCAACTAGTATGTACAATCTAGTTTAATAAATATTTAATCAACATAATAACACCTAAAAAAAATCTAAGTATTTTACAAACATTTTTCAACCAAGCTGAAAATAAATAATGTTGATTTTTAATTGATATATTTTTAAATTGTTTTAAATTATTATTTATTTAATATTTTTTATTTTCTAACATGTCTTAAAATTTGTACAATTACAATTTAATGTAAAAAATTCTTAAATTAATATAAAAAATAATATTTTGCAGATTATAATTAATATAAAGATAAAATACTATAATAAAATAGTAACTAATATTTATATATAAGTAACAATAGAAAATAAATTCTTTTTCAAAGACGAAGAAAAATTATACTGTGTTTCTGTAATATAAAAAATAATAAAGTGATATTCTGAAAATGATTTAATAAATCGCTGCGATTTAGTTTCATTCTTGAATTATGTAATTGTACAATTGTTTTATAAAAAATTAATTTATAAAAAAAAATTTAAAAAAAATTATTCAGTTACTAGACATGATTATTTAGATTCATAATGATTTTTATTAAAGTTCTAATGATACTCGAAATTGTATTAATAATTTATTAGTATTTAGAGTTTAGAATAATTTTATTTAAAATATTAAAATTAGATATAATTATACACATTATTCTTTACATTTACTAAGGAAAAGACAAAATTATTTTTATCATAAATTCAATTTTTTTATAGAGTTTTCTAATAAAAACTTAAATATTAAAGAATTTTATATAATTATACTTTCATTGTCTATAATATTACATCAAATTGTAAATATTATTTAGAAGAATTATAAAATGGTAATAATAATTATAATAAAATAACATAACGGTGAAGCTGCTAATTAGAATAAAATACATAACATTTTCTTTATTAAAACTAATTAGAAAATAAAATGCATAAAATATAATAGAAAATAATTTATGGTAAATATTTATCAGTTTAAAAAAGATATAAAAATAAATATATTTATTTTATGAATAGTTTCTTATTAGTCTATTGTAAGATAAGATTTTGAGATGTCTAGAAACAATGAATTCTCGTAAATTAACATTCTTAACAAATTGAATTCATGGATACATTAATATTACTCAATTCAAATAATATTCAAATACTGATATTCAAATAATTTTTCTTGGACTAGTTTATTATATAACAAACTAATTTATTACATTTATATTAATTGTAGTATTTTGATTCTTAAGTTTTTCATAGTTTTTCCAGTTAAAACTTAAATGATTTTAATAGTACTAACAGTTTCCCAAATCAATCGCAATTAAATTTAAAAATAAATTATACAAAATTCTATACATTACAATATTACAGTAGTTAATTAATTTCAACTGCTAACATATTGTATAATTAATAATAATTAACAATAATGATTAACTAAATATTATTATAATGAATTTTCTTTTATAGAATTTTTTTATACTCTTTTACATACTTTACATTATACTTTCTTTTACACCAGGTATCTATTTAACGGGTAATGTAATATTTTTTAACAGTATAAATATTGATGAATATCTGTATCAGATTACAGATATAAATATAAAATTTATCTTAAACGTTTCCCATTCCAATAAATTTAAATTTGAGGTTTATATTTCTGAATAAACTAAAACATTTTGAAATACATATCAATTTATCATTACATTATTAAGCCATCATGGATTCTTACATAATTTTTTATCATGTTAAATCTATCACGTTAGAAACAATAAATTATTTAATATTTTTTTATTTAAATTTAATTTGTTTGCTAGCCATTCATATTAATATTTATTTGCAAATATTGCATCGATAGTGGAAATTAGTCTTATAGATTGAAGTAAATGTAAAATATACTTGTTATTTATTAAGTACATATTTTATTAATTTGTATTTGTATTTGTACATATTTGTATGATTTGTAGATAAAACAGTATTAAATCTATTCAGAAAAACGTCTAGAAGAAAAATATCATTTTTGAACAAAATTATGTATTTTATTATACAACATATGCCAATTAATATGTAATTATTATAGAATGTTAATAATATACTTATTGGCATATGTGATAACATACGAAAACTACTAGCACTGATAAAAGAAGCATAAAAATTCAGAAGTTGAAGAAATTTTAGAAGTTGAATAGAACATTACTTTATTGTAATACATATTTTCATACATTTTTATAATTAAATAGTTCCGAAAGCTTCTAATAATTCTGTATTAAATACGAAATGACATGTCCAACAATATAGTTATTGTTTAAAAACAAATTAAACGCATCGATATTACAAAAATAGTTCTTCATATTATAAATTAATGTAATTAATAATTATTAAAAATTTCTCTATTGATTATTTATTTTAAAGCGAATAAATTTATTATATTTAAAAGATTTAACGAGCAACAGATAAACTAAATAAAGGGTTGCTGATATGTAAGATATTTTAAAATTAATTAAATAAGTGGAATAAAAGTTTAAAATGCTATAATACATTGGAATAATAAAAAGTAATATAAATGATAATAATTATTAAAAAAAATGAAAATAATATTATAATAATTATTATAAAATCAGAATAATAGTTGGTCGCTCTTTTATTTTTACGTTATACATAAGTCACCACGAACTAACTTAATCGCCCATTTCTCAGTCAGGCTAAAAGTTCAATGTTCTTGAGCTCCATATAAATGCTGAGTAACTTTTTTGTATAGGAAGTAATTTAACCAAAATTGTAAAATTATTTACCCTAATTAAAGTGATTAGTTTAGTTATACAAATAAAAAATGTATCTTCGACAAAAGGAAGAACTCTAAAAGCAACAATTTAAACAATAAAACTAATTAACAAATTTAACAATTAAAATATAAGTCGAAAATATAATATTTCACATCATGCGCATGCAGTATGACGACATGACTTAATAGTAAGGGTTGATTATGTACAGGCTATATTAACGATGAAATTGTATTCGACTGATGGAAAAGCCCTTAGTTGATAAATCGTGTAAACGAACGAGCTTACAGAAAATATAACGCGTAGTCAGTCCGCGCATCGACGTCGGCGCCGCGACGTCAAGGAAGAGGGGTAACTTAATCGCAGTTCGCCGCCCCCTGCGTTATCGAGGCCAAGTAGTACGCGTTTCTCGATTGTCTAAGGCACACCTTTTCATCCCTGTGTGTCTTTCCTCCTTTTTTCATACTTCTTCTCTGTCTCCGTATCTCATTTTTTGTCTCCCTTTTTACTCTTCACCTTTGTTTCGCCAATTTACTAGTCTATTTTTCGTCCCTATCCCTGCGCACGCGGCGCACAGTCCGCGGTAACGAATCTGAAGGTCCGCTGGTTCGCAGGCAGAGGGCCCAGGAGGCTCAGCGGTGCCTGGACGAACAGGCGACAACGGCAGCCACTCCTTATGGAACCCACGAGGCTACCCAGGAGCCCGGCACCAAGGCTAATTTTTCTTTTTGCCACCCTTACTCTGACATGTGCTGGTATGTCAATCCAACTTCCTCATTTTCTTTATTGATTATTTATCTACTTTTCATTTTTATTTTTGTTTCATAAATTCGTTTTATAACTTCGAATACAATCAATTGATTTTTATTAACTTCCTTTTATTTTATTTTTGCCTTTTTTTTAAGTTAAATTCATCTTAAAACACTTATTTTATTTATTTAAATATGTATATATGTAGTGCGTTTTCCATGGGTATATTTAAAAAACATCGTTATCAATAAAATCTTGTTTACTTTATCAACTTATTAATACATTTGTATAAATAAAGTACAGATTACTAAGTGATTTCCAATGAATATATAACTAAAATTGATTAATGAATAAAATAATATTTATTTGATTAAGGATTTTTAATATTCAATATACCATTTTTCTATTTACTATTTAATGTGTAATGATATATGATTTAAAAAAAAATAATTTTTCGCTTAAATTAATTATTGTTATATTACACATATGAAGTAAAAACATATATGTGTTTATTGTGCTCAATTATATAAAAAGAATATTTACATAAAAAGTGTAAAAAGTTACTCTACTGTTTGATTTCAAATAATTATAGTTTAAGTTATAGTTTTAAATTATAGTTTAACATAAAGATTGTTTGGAAATTCTACTACATTTTTTTCGTATTTATAAAAACGATAACTTTTTCATTGAGCTGAAGGTAATGCCATTAAAAAATTTACAGAAATATCAAAAAAATGGAAGCTTTCATTTCATCAATTATGTATTTAGATTAGTAGTTACGTATAATATATATATATATATATATATATATATATATATATATGTATGTACGGGTAAAACAATCTATTTTTAGATTCAAAATTAATTCGTTGACTTATATTGTTATTAGGATATAATAATTATATTCCTTACATAGAATATACAATATATTAGACTATACGACCATCCTTTTAACTATCTCATTTCTTGATTTGATTTATTAATTGCAACTCGTATCTTGTAAAAAAATAATCAATTCTTTGTAATTAAATATAACTACTATGCAAATTTTAAAAATTATTTTATTAGAGAATTATAAAAATATTTGTTATAGTTATTAATATAATATATTAAACAGATTTTAGATTATTGCTTCAATTTAAACAAAATTTATAAATCATTTAAACATTTTATATAGGTTACTTTAATTAGTAAGATACACAAATATATTTTGAAAAATAAACTTAAAACTGATACAAGATAACAAAATATATTAAAATTTATTATTAATTTTAACTCCTAAAGGAAAAATATCTTGAATTAATTCATTAAAATTTCGTAAATTACTTTATTTAAGATTTTCTTTAATATTTTTTATGAAGCTTCTTTACGATGCAATATTTATAATATAATATTTAAATTTGAAAAAATATAATTTTCTGTAAGTCTAGTTCTATAACAGAATCTAACAATTTATTTATAATTTTAAGGTATAATGTTAAATAAGTTATTAAATTTAATAACATTGTAACTAAGTAAATTTGAAATTGCTTAAATATTATTTTTTATCAATTATATAACCTGAATTTTACATTTTAGTCACTTTTTTCGAATAAAAAAAAATTCGTTTATTTAAAATTGAATTTCAATTATTTTTAGATAATCTTATCTAAAATATAAGATAAATATAAAATAAAAGATAAAGTATCGAAATTTAAAAAATTCATAATAAATTAGAAGAATCGATCTATATATTTTCATACTTTAATTGCTATAAAATTACGTCAAGAATAATATTAATATAAATAATAATTATACTTTTTTTTAACTTGGTTAATACTGACATTTAGATAAAATTTTTCATTTATCCATCATTTATGAGGGAAAGATGTCAAATTTATATTTACGAATTTTTTATTTATATTTTGTAATTTTTAAATTAATTTCTCACTATAGAAAAATTCTAATTATATTGAAAATCTTGTTATTATATACAATAAATGTTTAGAAACATAATTACATAAATTATATAATAGGTAATATATAACCGTATACAATATATATTAAAATTTTTTTTTTGTCAGACTAATTTGAGAATATTGAATTAATTTTTTTTATATTTGAAATGATTCACTTTAATAAGACTGTTAAATTACTGAATTTAAGTTTTGAGAAAATTAAAAAAACTACTCTTTTAACACATTATTCTTTTATTTATTTTCTAAATTAAAATTGAGGTTATAGTTATTACCTTATTTTTCACTTTATTCATTAACTTTTAACGTTTTATAAAATGAATAACTTTCATTTGTAGCGACAGGTCTTCTTTGTTTGGCAATAATGTCAGATCACTGGGAGGAGGTAGATTGGGATAAAGAGATACTTGAGAGGACAAACATTATCCCTAACTGGTTCTTGGACGGAAAAGTTGGCCGACTGGATGCCCTGCCCTGGTCTACGGAACGAATCTTGGGCCACAGTTCATCTCACCATACAAAAATGAGGCCAAGTCCAGCTTTTCTCGTACCTATGCATGGCGGGATCTGGACCATGTGCATGTCCCTCACAGGTACATCTGATTTTCTTTTTAATAGAATATATATGAAATAATTGTATAAATTGTTATTTTAATAATGTTGTATTCTATTTATTAATAAGTGTTGAAATTTAAAAAATACATAAATATATGTCCATACCTATGTAATAACGTTTTATTATTATTTTATATGTTTTGAACTCATTACATTATGTTTATATATTGTTTATTATTTTTTTTTCTGGCAAAATGATATTCCAATTAATTTTTATGAAAGGAACTGAATTTTACATTCTTGAAAAGTAAAGTTTCATTTCAAAAAATAAATACATCGTGAATAATTTAAATTACTCCAAATTCTTAAATTAAAGCATTTAATCAATAACACACACACACACACACACACACACACACACACACACGCACGCATATATATATATATATATATATATACAAAATCTATTAATTTAGTTTAGTTTAAACATTTTTTATCGATTATTTTAATCAGTTCTTTTAAATAAGTTTATTCATGAACTTATATACTAAATTTAATATAAATTTATGAACGATTTTATTAATTATAATAAATGCAACTATTATTTATTTCTTATACAAATACAAACAAATGAATTTATATATTACCATACTGATACAATGAACCAAAAAACTTATCTAAATGTTCTTATTTGTCTTAAAAAATAGTTTTCAATATATACAAGCCAATATAATATTAAGAAATTAATAATTAGTAGATAATTTCACATTCACTATAATTTCAAATTTTTTCTTAAGATTTTTGCCTTGTCAAAATAATAATAATAAATAATATAAATAACTTACTAATTTGCATAGTCTAAGATGGAATAGTATTCAAAAAGTTATATAATCGATATTTTATTAAATTTCTATCTTTTTTCTTTTTTTACGCAATATAATAGAAATTTGGCAATATAAATTGTCTTTTAATACGTATATTAAATGTATCTTTCATCACTTTATAATGGTTATATAATGTACCATTTCAGTAGGTCTAAAAATATTTTGTATTTATTTGTTCTATCAAATTCACAAAAAATTCCATAATCATTTCTAATTATTAGAAATGTATATGTCCATAAAAATTAACTTATTTCATACAGTTCAATTTAATATATTATTTCCATACTGGAAGTATCTGTGCCTTACTAGATAGAAATTCTTCTTGGAATTCATAAAGAAATTATAATATATGAATGTATAAGTGCTACAAATAGTAATTAAATTAAAAACTATTCAACTCGAAAAAATTTATAAATATAAGAAATTTCATTTATAAATCTATATTGTTATTTTTATAAAATTAATTGTACATAAGTTATATGTAAAGTACAGAGATTTTAATTTAAATCATAATTTGATTAGGGAAACAATTTACTATTAATAGAAGGAAATAATTATCTTATAATTGAAAAAAAATGTTATTACTATTTGTTTATTTACATTTAAAGCTTTTTTATATTATCAAAAATTATTAAATCCAATTTCAATATTTATATGTAACAAATAAAAGTAATTTGATATATATAAAGAATTTGATATGATTAGTTTTTTAATTTAGTTAAAAACCAATTTCATTCAATTTAATCGAATATAATAAATTATACATTTGTAATATGTTTATTCAATAAATTAAATATTTGTCTAAATGTCTTTGCAAAGAGTGTTCAAATATCTTTGCTGACCAGACATTAAACAGTTACTTCATTTTAAAACTATATGCAAGGAAATTTATTAAAAGAAAAATGTTTGTACTATTATGCGACTCTAGAATTCGGAACTCAATACTTGAATCCCTAAACGATACGTGTGATATACTTAATAAAAAATCGATACCAGGGCATCAAGTCTGAATGAAGAGTTCACTGGGTCTAGGTTGTATTTATCATGTGTGTATCTTCCAAGGAAGGTTGAAAATTGTTAACGGTAATATCACGTATTAATCTTCAGAATTGAAGTGCGCATTGAAATGTCGAGGTACCTTACGGACCGATGTTTGTGTCATCGGTTTGATTTTGCTCGTATATAATGCATTATAAGTTTACTTCAAATACTACTTAATAATATACTGAAATAGCATACTGTTTGTTAGTGTACTGTTTGGTATAATTAATCTGTACTGAAAATATTTATTCCGATGTAGACATAAATTTCAATAAAATATCATTTGAATAATTAGCTCTTTTGATGTACATGAATGCTTAATGTTTAAATACTTTGTTTTTATTTAATTATACGTACTGATTTTCGAATTTCAAAACTCTATATTTTAAAGCACAATAATCTTTATTTTTCTTATAATTAATAATAGCATAATATCCATTACTTATATCAATACATTATTAATTTCAAATACTATATTTTTATTTTTTGCAATTTTCTCTATTAAAACTAGACTCTTTTAAAACTCTTTAAAAATGGAGACAGAAGTAAATAATAAAATATGAATCAGTTCATGACGATAATAATATACAGGAGTGTGATTTTGAATGTACTAATATGTATTAAAGCTCAAATTTTTAAAATCATCGATGTTTTACAGATGAAGAAATTCAATTATTGGCGCAGCTTGGCTTTCCACAAGAAAAATGCATCAATTACTTGACGCCAGATGAGGCGCACGAGGAAATGCGCGCTGCTTGGCAGAACCGTAAGTCAGTGTTATATCAATCTTATTACGGAGAGATAAAATTGGCCTTTTGATTTTTAATTATTATCAATCTGTATATACAATATTATTCTAAATACCCTGAGTGAGAGTATTCGGTGATTAAATTTCTCGTAATTACTTGTTTTCACGACTACTCAAGATTTAAATGGATTCATATATTTAATTATTATTAATATATAATCCCATTTTATAAATAACTTTTTTCACATTTTTAAAGATAAAACTTGCATTTATCATTTATATAATTTATAACTTCATGAATATTTAAAATTTTAATAAAATTCTAAATATATTAAAATTTATATGTAATATAGATGAGTATTTCTGTATTTTACAAAGAACAATTATGAACATTTTTAATAATTAAACTTAGCTTTTATTATTGAATGCATACGGATATATCGAATATCGAATGGTACGGATGTAATTTCATAAAAAGTATCTGTCACTAAATAAAAATCTGAATTAATTTACTTTTAAAAATAAAGGGAAATGATTAAAACTAATTTGAATAATTTAACAGTTATAACAATAAATTTATTGTACAGGAATGCAAAATCTGAGCATATCTTGCTCCTTGGTGTGTTTAATAATTCTTGGTTCAGCTGTTTTCGTTGGATTTTTCGGACTCTGCAGACATCAAATTTCGGCTGTACTGGTGACTGGTGTAATGTATCTTCTAGCAGGTAACATTATATATTCATTCAACGCGTTCGAACTAAGCATCTATACCTCAATAAATATTATTTAGTTCTTTTCATTAACTATATAAATGTTACTCTTGGTAGGAGTGAATTACATTTATTAGAAAAGTTAATGAGTAAAAATTATAAAATATAAAAGAAAAGTCATTTACATTATTGCATTAATAATCCATATGCTTACATTCTTTTATATATGCATTAAATTATAGAAATGCATTGTATTAAAATCCAATGACATATATTATAATGCATTTAATAACATTATTACTTAGATTTAGCATTTACAAAAATTCATTAAACTAAGTTTCGGTTTTAATTAAATTAATAATTGGGATTTCAGTACGAAAATAAAAATTAACTGAATACATTATTAATTACAATTTTCTATAATCTAAATAACATTGTAATTTATTTTAATAAATACCTTTTTTAATTTAACAGTATGTACTAATCTCCATTTTATTTGCGAATAAAATAAATAATAAGCTTATAATAATTCTTTAAATATTTATTGATATTCTTTTATTTATTGTTTTGAATATAAAATTAACTAATTTAGATTCAAATATTTGAAAATCATTTAGCTTTAGAACATTTTCACTTAACCTTGGCCCTTACCTGTTGATGTGGTACTTGATAGACACTTACTGACATTAAAGCTGTACATTTTTTAATTATTATGTATCTGGATCAAAATGATATTAGATCATAATCACTGTATAAAAATACTGCTTATATTAATTAAATTTAATAAAACAACATTAATTTGTTTTGACTCAATTTAATTTATCTATAAAAGAAAGATTTATAATTATTTGAAAAGTTTTATATTGCTCAAAGAGATTATGTAAAACATTTAATAATAAAGCTTGATTAATAAACTAAAATTAATTAGGATATATATATATATATATATTTGTATTTTAAATTAGTTGACTTTATTTATATATATATATATATATATATATAAATAAAGTCAACAAATTTTAAAAAATATTATTGATAGTGAAATATAAATATATATAGTACATAATAAGCATACAAAATTCATTTAAATATTTCTTTATTTAATGTGCAATAAAGTATATGTGTTATAAAGTTTTTATTAACAATTGCTACATGGCTATATCAATAAATGAATTATTTATTTTAAATAAATAAATAAAACAAACAAATAAAATATTTTAATTTTGTTGCATCTAATAAATACATAAAACAATCAAAATCATATTACCTAATTATAATATCACAGAATAAATTTAAATTATTTAAATAAGAATAATATATTTTTGCAAATAGAACATAAATTTGCAAATACATTAAATATCGAATTGAATAGAACTAAGTCTAAATATTTTATTCATATTGTAAAACTATTTAAAAACTATTTTTTACTTCTTATATTAATTAATCCTTTTCATTAGAATTTTTAATAATACATGATTTGATATAATTATATAGTCGAGTAAATTTAAATTCATACTATGAAATGCCCTTCAATTGACGATTACATTACGTAATTATCAAAATGTTTTGTCTTACGAATATTAATTCTAAACCAATAAAATGAACGAAATCATGGTTCGAATTTCTTTTTTTTTAAGTAATATTCGATTGAAAATAAACCTATTCTAATAACAAATGAATACTATTTCTTAAAGTTAGTCATTGGACATTTAAACAAATATTCAAGGTTATCAACACTTGAATATAAATTAATGAACAGAAGCTGATAAAGGTTAGTTTGCGTTCCATGGAAAAATATATTAATACTCGATACTAATAAAAAAGATATGTTAATACATGATGCATCACTAGGATTTTTATACCTTTTCTACTTCCTTAACATACATAGAAAAATAAAAGTAAAAATAAACAATTATTACATTGTTGAATTCATCATTTGGTTTATTTTTACCAAATTTCGATTTAACTTATAAATTAAAAAATTGTATTTGATAATGTAAGTAAAAGATTTACAATTGACTAGGAATTTTTTGTTAAAGAATATTCAAATATGTATACGGTTGAAATAAGTAAATTAATTCATTATTTATTTTTTATTACGAATAAAAAATTTTTTTTTTTAAATGATAGATATTAGCGAAGTCATAATAGTTAATTTGTAGTTTAAAGTTTGAAAATTTTATTTGAGAATAGTTTATTTAGTATACAAGTTTAAAAAATAATTAGCTAAATTATTTGTGTAAAAGAAAATTAATTTTTTGGAGAAGCTTTTTTGTGCAATTTGCATTTTGATTATTATATGTGCTATTGAAAAAAATTTTATTTTACATTTACTTCAAATGCTAAAAAAAAATTTTATCAATACCTTTTTCTTCAAATATAAAAATATTCTTTATTTTATGTTGATAGCAACATTCGCCCTGTTTACGCTGACAATAATACACTGTAAGCGGTCACAGGATCGGGTAACTGGACGTATTCTACCCGATGGACCGGAAGACGGCGTCGTCGGTGGCCCTGTCGACCGCAGTGTCCTCAAAGCTCGACGCGTCGTTGCTTCTTGGAGCATGGACTTCGGTTCTTTCCGCACTGGCCTCTGTTGCTTGGATCCTTCTTAGCAAGATTATGCGCTTCAGCCCCATATCGGCAATGATTGCGTAGCAGCGTGAAGCCTTTGAGGTATAAACCGACATTCATCTCTGTGTTGGATTACCGTCTATCGTGACAGGCTTCCCCCTCCCCCGAATTACTATTTCAATTGAAACTTTAATCTTCTTCATATATCACAGTATAATTTATGTTATTGTTTTTTTATTAAATAAACTGTGTAACAACTTTTTTCGGACAATAGTATAATAAAATTATTAATTGATGTGTTGAATACGATACATAAAAATATTTCTACACACATAAAGAAGCTAATACAAATTTTTGTTTTTACATTTAATCCGTGAAATAATTGGAGACTTTTTAATAACTCGATTTTTCAGTTTTATATAATCTTGTAAATTTGAATGAATGTTTCAAATTTATTTAAATATTTCAAATACCTTTGAAAAGTATTTTGACACTATTAGATATTTACATTAAACTATCAATATTAACAAAAATGTCAATAAATAAAAATATTTATTGCTCTGGTGTGTGTTTTTAATAATAATTTTAGAATAATAATAGCATAAATACAAAGAAAACTTAGAAAGGCAAATGAATTTTGTTCATAATTGCATCAAAGCTTATAAAATTACCTGAAAAAAGTAAAAATTTAATTGCATTTAAGTAATTATTAATTTTTAATAACAATTATAGATTCATTTACAAAAAAAGTGTATTAAGATATTGAAAAAAGTAATGTATTTTTCAACCATTATAAAATAAATTTTAAACTGATTTTTAATTGATACAACCTTACAATATTGAAATAGTTATAAAGTTAATTTAATAAATAAAATTATAAAAATACGAACTTGAGATACTGTTAGAATTATTGTAATTCATAAAAGAATTAAACATAAATTTACTATCAAGTTATTAAATAATTTAAAACATGAACATCATGAAAAATGAATTTTGTTAATACCCTATTTATTATTTCATTATAAAATTAATAAGATCGTTGTTTTATTTATTTAATTTTTGTTAATTATTTAAATTTAATTTAATTATCGTTTTATACTTGTTCGCTATTACAATAATCAAATATGTAACGAATAGATTTTCGCGTACCTTATTTGAAAGCTATGAAATTAAAAAAGTAATGAACGCCTATTTATAAATTACATTAACAAATGTGATATTCGTACTGTAATTGCTTTTTTATATGAATTATTGTGATATTATCTTGAATAATTAATCAAATTTATTCAAACAGTTTGTGGAAAGTGCAACAAATCTGGAAGGCTCAAAATCGTAAATGTTATTGAATATTTTATCTTAAATACTGTTTTTAAATATTAAGATTTACATGTAGTATATACGAAAAAGTAAAAATAATTAAATTATCAGCAACTACTGTTATTTTAGTTATTGCATAGAAACAACCAATATAAACACTTTTCAACGATAATTTGTTATGAAATAAAATTTATAATTTTTGCATTTTTATAAAAAAAAGACGCACATATTTTCCATATTTTAGAACTATTTTATGTTTGATAAAAGCCATATAGATATTCAGATAAAATAAAATTTTTATTAATGAAGATATTTAGAATGACAATTTTGTATTACAAAGAAAAATATTTCAAGCACGTAATTTTGATTAATAACTGAAAATTAATTTTCATTAAATACTTTTTATGAATTAACTTTGGTAAATTATTGTCATTATGAATACATTAGAATTATTATATCTGTATTTATATTATGCTGTATAGATTAGTATTATATATCAATTATAATATATCTACATCTATATCTATAATATATTTATATTATCTATATTTATAAGCTAATGTTTATTATGATATTTTGTATAATATTTTTAATAGCCGAGTATTCATAAGTATTTATAATTTTATCAGCCTCAAACTATAAATTATATAGAATTATATACATTGAGTCTTTAAAAAGAAACTATAGCTTTAACGTAAATAATATTGAAAGGTATATTTATAGACATACAAATATATTAGTCGTATTTAAGTTATGAATTATACATTCATACAAACAATTTCAATATAAATATTAAACAACATAAACTAAATAAAAATATAGTATTAACAAAAAGTAATTAAAAAAGAAACAATATATATATATATATATATATATATATATATATATTGCAAAGATTATCATATTCTATATGATTAATTTTGGTTCATATACGAATGAATTAATTACTTGTTCTTGTAATTTTCAAAAAAGCAATGTACATAACTTGTTAATATAAAAACAAACAGAATAAAAACGTAGCTTAGTTTTATGAGAATTGTGCGATATAATTAATGCCTTAGTAAATTAAATTGAAAATTAAAAATGACATGATTGTATAATATTTCTAGATTTTACAAATTTTTTTTAAGTTAACAATGTTATTGTCTTTGGTATGAGTAGCAACTCATTTTTATATACATGTTTGAAGTATTCTAGTAGCATAAAACATGTATAAATTTGCATTGCTATTAAAAATGTTAAAATAAAAATGAAAAAGGAACGTGAGAAAGAGATGGACATGAACCATACAGACGCAGATAACATAATTAATAATATTGTAACAGCGCCTTACTGCAAAAATCAGCTTTCGCTATCGATTATTTCGTAAGCTATGTATATATTCTTAAATGTAAATAATATAAATTATACATAATATAAATATAAAAACTTTTTAAATTTATAAATTTACCTTAACATTTTTATCATGTTCAATTTGGGTCAATATTTATAATAATTATTTTATATATTCCTTTTTCGTATCTGATATGCTAAATTTAAAAACTAACCTAAGTTGATTAAATAATTTTTATATTGTATTTTTATTCGTTAATTAATTTAAAATTATTTTTAACTTTTTTTTAATATTATTTCAATAGTATATTATTTTTAGTAAATAATAACCAATTGTATTTAATTGTTAATTATTTGTGATATAAGTATGTCAAAAATCGACTTCATTTTTTATTCTATATATAATAATATATATTATTTTCTTTGATCTTGAATTAGTATAATAAAAACTTAAAAAAACTGGAATAACAATCTTCATATTATATATGTATTTAAATTAATTAAAATTTATACAATGGTACTTAATTATAAATTTTAATTATCACGTGATAAAGTAAATATTAATGAAAATTGTCCAGTTAGATAATAAAAACAGTTCTTAAAAGTATGAAATCAAATTTAATGTATACACAATTTCATTTAATGTTTTAGAATTGTATAGAAATTATAGTGAACAAATAAACATAAATTTATATTGAAGTATGTATCAACTAGATACATGTTTTTAAATGGCATATAATTTTTTAAGAATATTAATAAAAAACTATATTTTTAATTATATTTTCGCTATTTAAATATTTTATAAACATAATAGATAATTGTGTAATAAAAAATAGTAATAGTTTAATATTTAGATATATAAATATTTAGTAAATTAGATTTCTTTATTTTATCAGAATAAACCTATATATATATACCTGATTTTTATTCATCAATTTTAGAAATATATATCTAACAATTAATATTGTTCTGAAAATACAATTATCTTAGTGTATCATCTTTTTTTTTTATTAAAATGTGACATTAAATATTAATCTGTATAATCTTATTTTTTAATTAACTAACGTCAGAGTATATTTTTATTTGATCTGTGCACATCAAATTATATTTTATATATAAAATTAATTGAAATTTGTATCTACTTAATAATTAAAACTTGATAGTGAAATATAAAATAAATATTCATGTATACAAGCGACAGTTATTTTTGCAATTTAGCAGGCTTAAATTTGATCAAAATCGTCAAGGGCATTGAAGACACCACTGTAAGTTGTCCGCAATGAGATCGGAATAAGGGCGCGCGCATACACACAGAAAAGAGTTGCTCCGGCACAGTTTTTCATTGCGCGCAAGCGTAAGAAGGTCTTTTCGAAGGAATGCAGTGAGCGTTGTGCTTCTCTTCCTGGCTCTCGTTCTACGTTCCTCTTTCTCCTCAAGATCATATTGCCAAAGTAGTTGTCAGAGCTATTAAATAGTTTAGTTGAGAACGACGAACATCAGCTGTGAGCTAATCATTCTTTCTTTGAGTGTAAGTGCAGCTGCGTGGTTACGGGAATAAAAGGCACGTGCGATAGGTTAACGTATAAGGGAGAAGCTTCAGTGAGATGGCCGACAGCGCCGCCTCCAACTCGAAACCAAGAGGATCGGTGAGCGATGGGCCCGTTGTCGCTGACCCTTCATCTTCCGGCACGAAGGTACAAGAGTCTACATCCATTACCTCATTGCTCTACTTTATGCTCTCTCATTCTCACACACGTAAGCGTCTTCTCCGTTTAGGTGACTGCGCGCGCGCAAAAATCGCCAAATAATTCTCGTTGCCGCTTTGCTTTCTTAACTTTATTGATAAATTCACTATCACGTCAGAGAACTCGTGACCCATATCGCTTGTCATTTTCTCGCTTTTTTTCTGCCGCTTGATTCGTGCTTGATTCGGTTTCGGTTTTTAAAGGTTTACTTCAACTCGCCATTATTATGAACCAATTTGATAATCCTATCCCATTTGCCTATCCACCCACCTCAATAGGATGCTTGTGTGAATTGTTGCAATGCATTTCATTCATATTGATTAATCTGATGATAATTATATAAAGCTTTTGTTAATTCATGAACTTGATTACCATTTGCTTTATGCTGGTTATTATTTTAATTTTACTTCTACACTGTTTAAATTTATGAAGATGAAAAAGTTTTATTATTACATTTGCTATTCTTTCATATTAGTAGATTATATATTTTAAATTAAAGTAAATTTGGGCTAGTTTGTCAAAGATTTAAATTGTTAATTTTTTATGTTTGTTATTAACATTTTGATTAACCGATATTAACTTGGAATGTAAGTTGATTTGTTTTTTTAAAAATTATTAAATTTAAAGTAACTCATTATAGATAATCTAATATATACTTTGGATCCATAAGTACGTATGGTTTACTAAAGTATTAAAAATAATTTTATTTAAGTATTAATATAATATTGATTTGTTTTTTCATAATTTAAACCATAACATATAAGTTATTTTTATTATAATTATTATAATTTGCATCATTTGAATCTATTCATATATTTCTAGTTAACATCCTTTATAGAAGATTTATAGAATTTTCTAAAAACATACTTTTTTAATCTAATAAATTTTATAATCATTATTAAAATTATTTTATACTATTTTTAGAATTTATTTTAATTTATTTAATGTATTATTTAAATATAATATATAGCTTATTAATAAACAAAAAGTAGCTGTTTCCATTTTTTTTAATCGCAAATAACTTAACCTAAATTGTCAATTGAAAGAGTATTAAGATTAAATTATATTATATGTTTTTTTTATTACTATAAAAAGTATAAACCATATTTAGTTCACATTATTTTATATAATATCAGTGAATATTTATTTTCTTTACAGGTATTAGGTTTTATTGTCAATTTGTTTAATTGATTCAGTTATTCTACCAATTTACTTGCCAGCAGTTTTTGTTGAAGAATAATTCATAATTAAGAATTAAACTTAACTATATCAATTAATATTTATGTATAATTTTATTAAAATAAAAAGTAATTATTATTAATTGTAAAAATAGTATTAAATGATGATTCCATGTTACATAGTATGTTTATATATAAATAGTATCATTGAGCTACTAGTTTATTAATATAAAAGTCATTGTCTAAAATTATTATACCAATCAAAATGTTTTAATAAAATAGTGTTAAAACTTTCATTCTAATATTTAATACAAGAATATAAGTTTTTTTTCTTCATAAAATAAAATCATATTGTATAACTAAATTATTTTAATTTCCATTTGTTTATTTAATATTTAATTTTCTTATTTTTAAGTTAGGAAAATTAAATAGTACATTGCTCGATTATTACGAAAATATATACAATATATTCAAATATTTGTGTAATATTAAAATGTTGTCAATGAAGGTGAAATATAGATTAACTATATATAAACTGTATTTAAACGATGGTTTTATCATTCACGTTGATTGCATATTTTAATTATATTTGTTTAATTTGTTTATTTTACAATTTTGTATTTGAATGTTGATTGCAAATCAAATTTTATTTCTTTAAAGAAATCGTAAAACCGTTGAATTTAACTTCGAGACCGCATATTAATATTTTTTAATGATTGGTCGAGTGATACTAAAATTGAATTGGTTGATGGGATATTTGATTGACCAATTAAATTTCAAATACAAATTTGAGCTTATTAGTATTTTAATTATTTTCCCGTTAAGACTTTTCATGGCTGAATCAAAATCGGTTTTATTAAATTTAAGTATTTTAATATTAACAGTTAACATAAATATTATATAAATCAAATTTATTGATGATCAGCGAATTGATTAAATCAGTATTATATTTTTCATACAACTAGGTAATTTTTATTGAATTTTTAATATCATCTTGTATATTAGATAGCTTTTTAATTTTTACGTTTTAATGTTCTAATTTATATAAGATATAAATATATTGAAATTTTAAACAAAATAATTATCACGAATTTATTTTGAGATTAAGAGGAAATTATAATTTTTTGTATGAATTAAACTAAATTGTTGTAAAAATTAGTTCAATTGAAAATTATAATAATACAATTCATAATAACAATATCTTTAAATTTATATTTAAATTTTCATTCTTTTATTTTTATTGGAAGAATCAGCGTATTTGAATAATCATCAACGCAATCACAAATAAAAGAGGAAATAAATTCATTATTTTACTTCAATCCATTTACATCATTATTTAATGCTTTATATTCAGTATTCATAAAAATCATTAATTTTATAAAATCATGCCCGAAACATCCTTGATGGAGAAGTTGCATAATCTTAAGATTTCGGATACCATGCTTGTACGTACTGCAAAGAAATTAAAATGCATTTGTATGTATGTACATGTGTTTAATATAATGCAATGCATGATATTCGTGCACAGAAAAACTGCTAATGAGAACAAAGAACGGCTATTTTTTCTTTCATCACATTTTGATTATTCGACCCTCGGTATTAAAACCAAATTACTCAATCGTTTTTTGCGTGTCATCGATTAAATAGACAACAGTTGGGTGAGAGTATTAGATATGAGTATTGCGCGCCAATTACTTTTTAGGTTTTGTTTGTTATATAGAATTAATGTGGCTAAAGAGGATAATCCTGTTTCTGTATTGGTAATCATGTTATAAGTAAAATTATATAATTAATTATATAATAAATAAAATAAATCATATGTGAAGTTTGGACACTTTGTGAAACAAAAAAATATAAAATAATGTATAATCGATGCTTTATAATAATGAAGTTAAACAAATTTCATTGATTTAAATTTTTGATAGAATGAAATTTATCTATAGAATGGCGCATTCGTTTAACGTTTACATTATTGAAAAAAAATGATGACATCAGACATATGTCAATTGTTATTGCAGTAGTAATACAGATTATTTAAAATGCAATATATATATACTAAAGACACTGGACAGAAATAGTAAATCTTTTAAAAATTCTCTGGCCACCTTTACTTTTCTAAATTAAAAAAAAAAAAGAAAAAACACCCCCTTTGTTCTAATTGCAATTACAAGTAATTTTCTTAATTTTTTTAGTTACCTAGCTGCAGTGTCAAAACTACAAGTTAGTTTTTATTTATGCCGAATACAAGTTGTTATTCAAATTCTTATCTATTAGTCTCTTTCATCACCTTTCTTTTTTTATCTTTTTTTTTTAAATCCATAGTCAGATTAATCAGAGCGCTTTTATAACTATTGATTTTGCTACATGCATTTTGTTATATATAATTCATTTGTATATATATTTAATAAGTTTTCTTACTTCTTTTTGGAAACTGAAGCGTTTTCAATATTTTTATTATAGTAATTATCATTGGTTACATATCGATTCCCTTGTGCATATATACATATTTAGTATAATAAAGTATCATACACACAGAGAGAGCGATTAAAGTATTATTAAATTAAAGTATTATTCGTATATTCATATTAATGATTTATAATAAGCCGAAAACATGAAAATAACATGAATTTGGCAATGATATTTATAATTAATACTTAAAAATTTAAATATTTTTTTGCAATAAGTTCTGTATGTGTAATTTATTTAAATATATGAATGTACATTAATTTGTTATAAAAGATGCAAATTAAATTTAAAAATAAGAATTTTAGGAACGCTCTTAATTAATTGAAATAAGCTAAAATAATTCCATTAAAGTTCAAATAACTTCACATTGCTAAAAAAATATAATTTGTTATCTAAGTAAATTATATTTTTATTGTTATATTTACCTATTTGTATAAATGTAGCATTAAATAAATCGTTTAAAACAATCTTATCGAACTATTACAATTAAAAATGATCATTACTGCTACTTTTATCAAAATTTAAACTTGTAATAAAAAAATCGAACTAATTTACTTATACTAAAACTTTAGAGACTTTTGAAAACAATGCTTCGAAGTGCACCAGAACTCGAACTTGACTATGGACCATGGAATTTAAATTATGAAATGGTCGTTATTGTGATTTCAGAGCCTAGAGGCAACGAATAGTGCCTTTCACGGCGCAAGATCGAAATTAGTAAGTAATACTATGAACCATAAAAAACATTTAAATTTTATAATATATATTTTGCAATCTGTGAGGTGTGCGTGTGCATGCTTGAGTGTGTGCTTGTGTTCACGTATACATTATACGTATCACAAAAATTGAACAAACGAAAATTATTCATATGACAAGTTAAACAGTTCAATGACGTATTCGTTGAAGATCTATTCTTTACATTATGAAATTCATATTTATATATTTTGTATTATTATTGATGTTTTGTATTTTTAAATTATCTATTTAATGTTACTATTACTTTTAAATGTTATTAATAAAATCGTCAATATTTAGAAATTTATGAAAAATTATTTTAAGATACTATAGTAATTTTAGAAACGATAATTTTTTATTTAAACTGAATACCTTTATATTAGCATAAATCTTATGATATATACACTTTGATTGAAAATAGCACTATTGATGAACTGTTGAAGTAGGTTATATTTATTATTCGACTGTTCGACTTTGTAAAAAGATAAATAAAATTTATTGTTCGAATAGAAAAATTAACAAGATATAGTTTAATGAAAATGAGTTATCTTAATATTCTGTGATGCAATGTACAGCATAGATCCCGAATTTACTTTAGGATTTATGTCATAACAACATATGTGAACGCAAATACATATTTATGAGTGCTCCTAACACTCACATACATAAATGCATGATAAAATATGAGTACAATCCTGCACGCCAAGCATCGCAAAATGTAAAAACCAGAACGGATCATCTGCAAATACGTGACCAGAAGTATCTCAATTTTTTCAGGAGTCCAAATCTGGAGCATTGAAAAAGGCCGGCAGATATAGGAGTCGTTCGCTATCTGCAAGCAGTACTGACAGCTATAGCTCTGGTATAGTTACCGTATTTTTAGCATTAATTGTTTTTCAATTATTCCCGTAAAGTTGCAAATATTTTTGAGCTAATTCCTTTCCACATTCGACAATACTTCATAATAGACGATAGACGATGCTCTCGTCTTATATATCTTTGTCGGTATTTTATTTACTAATAACAAAATGTGAAGGCACCTAGTATGAAAAGCTAGTCACACTTTTTATTGCTAGGTAAATTCTATTTATATAGGGAAGAAATAAGCTATTAATTTATTCTTCTTATTATTATAATTGTTGTAGCTATTAAAGCTATTGTTATCATTATTATTATAAAAGTTAATACAAGTCAAAGTGTTCGATCAAATATATCATATTTTTTAATAACGTATTAAAAAGTTGTTTAAATGTTTCGTCAATATTACTTATGTATTTTTAAATTAAACTTTATTTCTGATGAACATTTTTAAAGCAAGTAATTTTATGGATTTAAATATCATTTAATTTCTCTCTCTCTCTCTCTCTCTCTCTCTCTCTCTCTCTCTCTATTAATATGATTATAAAAAAGTAAAATAATATAAAATGTTTTTACAAATAAAATCTTTAGAAATATCTTATTTAAAATAATTGAGTATGAAAGATCATTTTCTATAAAAATAATAAAATTTAATGAATTCGATATCTTAAGTAAAATGAAAAAAATTTTGTACATGGGTACGTGTATATTTCTAAAAATTAATTTTATTGCAGTTACTCTTGTTATAATACAATTAGTTAATATTAAGAAAACTATTTTTTAATGCTTTAACTTCACAAAACATTACATTTTGTATAATCGGGAATTATAGAGAACCGATAGTAAAATATATAATCTTATTGTTTCATATATTTTTGAAAGAATTAAACGTTACAAAAATTAATTTGAATATTCAATGTTTGCAAGCACAATTTCAATAGTTATAATGTATTGTATGTGATTAAAAAATAAATTAAATTGAATTAACACATATTCAACTTTGTTTATTTATACTTTAGGTATAAAGAAAAATAATTAAAAGTATTTTTAGAAATATAAACATTAATATTTTATAACTTTAATATTTTTAAACTAAAGTTTTTATTTATTTTACTGCTTTCTGTTAAAAATAAATTATCTTCAAATATTTATTGAATTTACTTTTGTTCTATTAACTATATAAAAATTATAACGTAATTGAAAGAATTATCTAGAATATTTTAAAATTATTTTAAAAACCTCAGTATTGACATGATATCTTATTACTTCTAGTTTCAATGGGTATATTAAAAGTTAGTTGTTTGTATAAATTAGTAGAATAGTTGATTAATTAAATTCCAAAAATATTTTTATACCATGCTTTAGTTTATAAACTTATGGAACCTACATGTTTCATTTTATTATTGTGTCTTCATCCTCCTTTTTTTCCATTACATATGCTTCTTTTTTTCTCCCTTCCCCCCTCTCTCTCTCTCTCTCTCTCTCTCTCTCTCTCTCTCTCTCTGGCATATAAATTTTCAGATAAAAAAATTATTAAGTTTTCGTAATATGTAGTAATTGTTTATCCAAAATAACAAAAAATTTAACCTGTATTTCAGTTAAACTCTTCTTTTTTATTTAAGCGATACAATATTTTTATTGTTGTAAAGTAATTAATTATATCTAAATGAAAATAATGTATATATTTTAAATTTTTAATACAAAATAGAGTAATACTGTTTTTTACGAGATCTTTACTTTTATCATAATTTTCGGAATACAAATAAGCCTTTTCATGACGCGTAAGTTGAATTTTAAAAAACTCAAAGCGCCTCGATGTTAAAAGAAAAGCAGAAATAAGTTTGAATATGACTTACGTAGCAGTAAGATTGATCAAGACTCCGGATTCCCCTCGTATCGACCATGAAAAACTCGCTTACGAGGGAACTCCCAGGGGGAAAAGCAAGAAGTCTAGAGAGGGAGAAAACAAGAGTATGTAAAGAGCGACTGTTTTTCTGCCATGAGGAGTTTAGCTAGTTGAAGGCACTAATCATGCGTTCATTCTCTGTTTCGTGTGCGCCACGGCTCACATCGCGGATTCGGCTGTGAACAATTGTAGCGTCTTATACAGGGAGCAGCAGCGAGGAGGACGATGTATCACCACGCGAGAAAATCCAGAAGACTGACAAAGGCTTCACGGATTTCTGTGTGCGGAACATCGACCAACATGCATTTGGACGCAGAGAGATCGAAATTGCCGAGCAGGAAATGCCAGGCATTATGGCACTTCGAAAACGGGCCCGCGATGACAAGGTAAGTCAGATACCTGATAAATAACTAAAACTGTTATAATCATGATTCTACTCAAAAAAAGGGTTTCCACTTAATTCTTCTGTAGTGATTATCAGTTGTAAGTATTATGTTGCATGATCTAATTATCTTGTTAAAGGCATTTTTCCATAGAATCAAAAATACAACAACGAATGATTCATTTAAATTTGATCGATATTGATATAATTATGAATTTTATTTATAATATTCTACAGAGCAACTTAAGGATATCGTTTGCGACGGATTAATGGGTCAGTATTTTTTCAGTTGTAATATAAGGTAGTATGAATAGTATTGAGAGATTCTGATAGAAATTTGGAACATTGGAAATAAGATGGAATTAATCAAAAATAAAAACATTCTTATATTCACAAGCCAAATTTTAATCGGGATACTATTATTATTGATTAATAATTATTTTTGATTGTTAATCATTTTAATAAACTGAAAAAAACCAGAATTTTAAATTATAAAATGTTGTCATTTGTAATAATAATATTATTATTATTCTATAATAAAATCAATTAAAATAGTAATAGGTTTTGTGGCCTGGAAAGTTTTTTTTTATGCAATAAATCCATCGAAATATTTTATTTATACTTACGTTAAATTTAAGATTTCAGTTACAAAGTAAAATTCTAAAATTCATAAAGTTATATAATTATATTTATCAAGTAAAATACTGAAACCTGCTACTTTTTAAGATTCTGTTTTAGAGTTGTTAATGTTTCATAAGTAATATGAATTATTTTTATAGGAAAATATATTATTTATAATATTTTTAATTAAAGGATATAAAATAATGTATTTGACTGAAAAAGTTTAAAGTGATAATATAATTTAAACATTGATTGTAATTTTTAAAACGAGTTAATAAATATAATAAAAAGTCCATAATTGTTAAAGTTTAAATCTTATTTAAGAATTTTACTTTCGTCTTTGAATTATTACACTGCTATTTTATATTAAAGAACTCTTAATTGTGTGTGTATACTTTGATGATTTTTTTCAAGACTAATGAGATAATAATTAATTAGACAAATTTTGTGTCGAATCGCACTCACCGCCTGTTTTATTGTTTGTTAATAAAATTAAGGAATATGCAAGAGCGAAATAAAAATAATACATTGACTTTTCTTTATATAATTAAAAAACTAAATTCACTTTAATTAATTTTGATTTAATGTTCTAAAGAAGTAAATTCATATGAAAAGCATATACTATCGTTTCATTGCGACGTCTAAATTACTTCGAACTTTTAATTATATTCTTTACTGTCTCATACGACAAAACGTCACCATAGCTCCTTTATTGAGCACGCACATACACACTTATACCCACACTACGTTTTCTCGTTTAAACGAAAAGGAAAGGCGGTGAGCTACGTGACTCACACAAGATAAATTGTCCGCACAGCCGTTGAAGAATGCAAAGATTGTCGGCTGCACGCACATAAATGCTCAGACGGCCGTTCTGGTTGAGACTCTGGTGGAACTTGGGGCGCAGGTACGATGGGCTGCGTGCAACATCTATTCGACGCAGAACGAGGTAGCAGCTGCACTGGCACACGAAGGCTACCCCGTGTATGCATGGCGGGCCGAAACCGAGGAAGATTTTTGGTGGTGCATTGACAAGTGCATAGCCGCCGAGAATTGGCAACCCAACATGATCCTCGATGACGGTGGCGACGCTACTCATCTCATGCTCAAAAAGTATAATGCCACGTTCAAGATGATTAAAGGTGAGTAAATGATATACCTTCTGATTTGACTATTAAAAAATCTGCCCTATTGTCATATAAAAGAAATTTTTATAAAGAAGCATAGTGATTTAATTTAAATGTAATTAAGAAATCAGTAATTTTAGTTTATGATTAATTAGTTACATGTATACATTTTTAAAAATATTTATTGTTGTATGTATTTAATTTAGGAAAGTTGCTTAAAATGAAGTGAAAATATAATTAATCAAATAAATTTGTTTATACAACTACTTATAATGATTTGTTTATAAAAATAATACGTATTATAATTAAGTTTCTAAACATCGTTAGTTTACTAGTTAAATTCTAAATATTTATAGTGCTCTTTTATCAATATTTACTAACTCTCACTAAATTTTAAAATATCTTTATTTATAAAGTTTATAAGATATAAGTTATGATAAATATATATTTTATTTGTGGATTAGGAATTGTTGAGGAAAGCGTAACGGGTGTTCACAGACTGTATCAATTGTCTAAAGCAGGGAAGTTATCCGTTCCTGCTATGAATGTCAATGATAGTGTAACTAAAACGAAATTTGATAACCTTTACAGCTGTCGCGAAAGCATCATTGACAGGTAATCTTACTTTTGATTAAATGCTAAAACAACATTTTTTAACTGCTTTTTTATATAAATATGTAATATAAATTTAAATGAAAATTGGGTTGAAGTAATTGCTTAAATAAGTTTTGATTAATTATGACTTAATTCAATTTTTCAATACATTTTCAGTGTGACATATTTTATAATAAAAATATAATGTGACTTTTGTTATATCATAAATAAAAATAATAAATTACTAAAATAATAATTTACTAAGATAATCATAAAATTCTAATAAAAATATTTCAAAATACTATTTATATATACACATATGCAATTGTCAAATTAAAAAGTTTTTAAACTTTGTATAAATAAAAAGGTATAGAAGCTTTTGATTCATTTTTTAAATAAATTTTCTTTGTTTTATTGTATTGTGAATATATTTATATTTCATTCATATACGGCCCTTATAAGTGTTGAATTTTCTGGGTTGGAATTATGTAGTTAGCCAACTTACAAAAATAAAATTTGCATGATAAATGACGATGATTTAACGAGATGATATAAATAATAATATATTGAAAACATTCTTTTCGAATAATATTACACTAGAATACAATTATATAAAATTATTTTTATTGAACGAGTTTTAATTAATTGTGAATTTGATCTATTAGAATTGTATATATAATTATATATAAAGTATAAGTATGATCTAGTTTATCAATTAAGTTTTAATTCAATATATAATTTCTATATCTTTTTTTAACTGGGTCCATTAATGCTATCGTGTAATAAATATTGAATTAATGAAAATATACTTCCGCAAGATATCCGATCACTTATAGATAAGCGCGTAAACTAATCTTGAAAATAGCAAATGAATTGTCGAATACTCGATTAAAATATCGACAAACTTCCAAACAGTTTGAAGCGATCGACGGACGTGATGTTCGGTGGCAAGCAAGTTGTCATCTGCGGTTATGGGGAGGTTGGTAAAGGCTGTTGTCAGGCACTTAAGGGTCTCGGCTGCATCGTATATATCACAGAAATCGATCCTATATGTGCTCTTCAAGCGAGGCAAGTCTATAGTCATATATAATTGCGAGTCTAGACGTGTGTTCTATTTTTGATTGTCGTGTGCAGCATGGACGGCTTTCGCGTTGTCAAGCTTAATGAAGTCATAAGGAACGTGGATATCGTTATCACTGCAACTGGCAACAAAAATGTTGTAACACGTGAGCATATGGATAAAATGAAAAACGGATGCGTGGTTTGCAACATGGGCCATAGTAATACTGAAATTGAAATTGTGAGTGAAAGTGGTTTGTATAACCTAGCTCTGAATCGTATATCTTCGTTTTCAATCAATATTTATAAGGACGAGGTTGAATGAACGAATCTCATTCAATCTTATTAAATATGGCAGAACTCTTACAAACACTTCCACTAAATGCATGTTAATATTGTATTAACAGAACAGTCTACGTACATCAGATTTGACATGGGAGAAGGTCCGCTCCCAGGTGGACCACGTAATTTGGCCGGATGGCAAACGGATCGTACTTTTAGCCGAAGGTCGTTTGGTGAATCTCTCATGTTCTAGTATTCCGTCCTTCGTAGTTTCCATTACAGCTGCAACTCAAGCTCTCGCTCTAATCGAGCTCTTTAATGCCCCTCAAGGCCGCTACAAGAGTGATGTTTATTTACTGCCTAAAAAGATGGGTTAGTATGCCAATTCTGTTTTTCTCTTTTTTTATTTTAAGGCAATACCTATATAATACTACAAATTAATCTATTCATTTTGAAATATAATTCCAATTCTTAAGTAGATTATAAGAGGTGTAATTTTTTAATATCGTAGATAATACGAAGGTAATTTTTTTAATCTTTAGAGTTTTTAATAATTATATTGTTTGACAATAAATGAAACGTACAATGTTTAAATATTATTATACAATTAATTGAGCATATTTTCACATTAATATAACCATATCGATGACATCTTTTTTCTTAAATGTGTTTACAGATGAGTACGTTGCTTCTCTGCATTTACCTACTTTTGATGCTCACTTAACAGAATTAACGGATGAACAAGCTAAATATATGGGCTTAAATAAAGCCGGACCGTTTAAACCCAATTATTATCGGTATGTAAAAGTTATGCATTTATTTTTATATTAAAAATCACTACATTAAATTCAAATCTTTATTATAACAAATTATTTTTTTATTACTTTTTTCTTTTATCTCCATATTTGTTTTTCCACGGAAGATGAACGTATGATGGTGCACCATTTGTTTCTTTAAATGGCTGTTTAAAAGTTTCAATCAAGTAGACGAGTGAAAGTATAAAAATTAAAATAAATAAACTGTAATATTTTTTTAAAAAATTGAACAATGAAAGAAAATTTAAAAATATAAAAACTACTAATATGAGTTTTTTAATAAGCGATTTTTAAAAAAATTATTCAAACAATATTTATTCGCTTATTACCAAGTATCAATTTTATAAAAATAATAAGTATTTAACCTTTTTACTTTACTTCAAAATACTTGTTTAGAACTTTAATTAGTCCATTAGCACATGTAAAAAATATTTCCTATGGTTAACATTTATATTAATTTATATTTATTCATATTAATTATGTAAATCTAAATGATTTAAATGATAACAAATAATTAAAAAATTTAAGCTATCAACTAATACTTATTTTTGACAATAAATTAATAATCAATATTTACATGTGCAGTATTTGTCCAGAAATTATATTTTATGGTAATATTCGATTTAATTTATTCAATTACTTCATTTAATATGACTCTTTCCTTCATACTTCTAGATTATATATATTATTTTTTATTTGATCTTATAAATTCAAACAACTTACTTAAATAAATTTTAAAAATCATGCATTAAATCACACTTTTAAAAATAATTGTTACTTATCAATAAATAATTTTATAAAAATATTTTTATGTCTACAGATGCCTTTCTCAAAGTCTGGCGTTTCGCTTGAAACAAAAATTTTTACAAAGTAATAAATAGAAGAAAAATATGAACAAAATGAAGTATAGGCGAATTAGCATATACGAAATATAATGTATCGCGGTAGGGTTAAAATCACAAATTTATATTATTGTTGTGAATTTTGCATTTAATCTAAATTCATTTTTATTGAAAGAGAAGATAATACACAACGTATTTTGAGCTATTTATAACTTACTCATTTCAATAATTGACAACGAAATATTTGCTTTCAGCTACTAAATTGGCAAATGGGCTGGACAAATAAAAGTGTGGATCTGTAGGATCACCATTTTGATCCATCAACAAAACACAAAAAAGAAACTTACCATAAAGTGAAGCTGAACATCAAGCGAATGAAAAAAGCAGGGAACTCTTTCATTTTATCTGTCAAATACTACTTCAAAAAAGAAAACGAAATTAGAATAATGTTTCAAAAATACGTGTATCATTCCAATAAATTACTAATTAAAATACAATTTTATTAGCTTGTACGTACCTGCTATACTGTTAGACTGGATGAATAAATTGTGATCATTCGAAATATTTGGAAAAAAATTAACGTAGGTTTAAAAATAATATAAACTATTTTCTAAATAAATAACAAGCAAAATGTCACGCAGGACGCAAGTGTGAAAAGCTAATTTATCGTAATACCCTATTTTGATTGCTTGTGTTTTTAATAGGCGATTCTAGAAAAATCTTCAAGACTATACGCCGTATCAAGCAGATTTATACTATATTTTATTTTTTAAACTATATCAGAAGAAACTAATTTTAATTAATAGTTTTCTTTAAAAAGTTAAGTAAACACTAATGGTACCATAAATGATTGTAAATATTATTCTGTTTATGTAAATTTTCAATTAATAAGATTTGCAATTAATCAAATTGTAGATATAAAAAATCTAGTTATATTGTTTGCATTTATAATGAGTATTTGGTAAAGAAATTACTAATCTGTTTATCACTTCTTCAATCGCAATATGTACATAACTAGACATAATAGGAAGAATACGATCTTATAGTTGGCCGTAGTGATGATAAAAAATTAACAGAATGAATTAGATTGTACCTTTTAAAATAAATATCGTATTTTTTTTAATATAAAGCCTCTTCAAAAACTAAAAATAATAAAAAAATTGATTTTCAAGATTTGGATTAGTTAGGAATCAGAACATTAAAATACATCAATTGATTTCTGAACATCATTTTACATTGCACCAATAAAATTAGATTTGTATTTTAGCCTCAGTAAATAAAAAGTTTCCAGTTTCATATAAGAAATAAGGAAAATAACTAACGGTAAAAAAAGACAAAAATAGCATTAATAATTGTATGCTCTTGACGAACGAATGTGAACTTACACAAAAACTATTTACTAAATAAAACATAATAAAACAAAATGTTTGGAAAAATTGTCACCTTGTGCAATTATTTTCAGCTACTCATTGCGAGTACACAGAGCAAATACACTGAAATTTTTTTTGATAACAGCAATGAACTACGAGAGATATAAATTAAAAATATATTAATAGAATTTGACTATAATTAGATTTCGACATAGATTGTTACCGAGAGAAATTCATATGATTTCATTATGCAAATATGGTATATACAAAAATTAATTTTTAATTTCAAAATAAGCTGCCGATATTTAAATTGATAGAGAAAAATGCTGTTCCTATTATTTATATATGAAGAAGAAAGTGTAAAATATAAACCGAAAAAGGCCTAATATTTTTTCGAAGCTTTTATGTCATTATCCTATCTTTCGTTTACTTAAATTTATTACATGTTTATCGTTTTTTGGTTTAATACTGTAAAAATTTGAACTCACGTGGGTCTTAATTACGTATGGGAAATAAAAGAATTGAAAAACTAAGAAAATAACATGCAATTGTGTTACTAGTATTTTTGTAAAATACTATTATAGACCGTAAATAAATGACAGATTTAAAAAAGACATATTTTACTTATTATTTTTTAAAACCTTAAATTATCTATTAACATTTTTTCGTATTTTAAAATTAGTGTCAAATGGAATTAAATATATTTTTTATTGTAATGTAGTAATGTAGTACATTGATAAAATCAGCAATCTTCTAAGTGTTAAAACATAAAATTTCATGTTATTTTAAAAATAAAATGAAATAGTTAAGTTTCATTATTAATTTTAAGTAACAATTTTCATACTGTTTAAAAAAATTTTACAATAAATGCAGTTTATTTGTACACCGATAAGAAATTTCATAATACAAAATTTTATTCATTAGCATTAGACTTTCGTGATTATTATTTTAATTAACACAAATATGTTGGTAAATAATCAATATTCGAAAAAACTATTTTACATGATTTTTACAATCGCCATTTATATAAAAATTTAAAATAAGCATGAAAATGATCATATAAATAATAAAAATCTAATTGAATATTAGTAATTCATAATGTATACATTTTATTATATATAAAGTATCTCCCTCGTTGCTACAAGGAATTTAATAATTAAAGACAATAAAAATGAATATATTATTCACGAAGTACATATATATTTTATAAAGAGCGCATTAGAATCAAATAGTTTTCTAAATATATGGAACATTTATAGTATATATATAATTTATTATATTATCGATACTCACTTCCAAAGTGATATATGATTTTGGTCCATACGCTATTTGCTTTAAATACTTTTCGTTTCTCAGACGAATAACAATAAATTTTTATATATTACATATTAAATAAAATTTGCAATAAGTATTTTAATTGCGCCAGCCAATTAAATCCAAATCTGAAAGTATTATTACAGCCCTTCCAGTAATTGATTATTTACATTAAACAAATCGAAGATTACAGTACTATATACCGTTTATTTTAAAATATACTGTTATTTTTTATGCTAATTCAAACTAATTCAAATTTTTTTTCTTTAAAAGTATTACAATGAATATTTTTTATGTATGAAGTATTTAATACTAACATCCGGAAAATACATGTTTATAAAATGTACATTCAATAAAAAATAAACTATTTTTTAAATTAAGCAACATTCGATTTTATATATTGCTAAACAATAAGACTTTAGTTTCATGAAAAATATGTATACTAGAACAATGTAAAATGGATTAAATTTTTTACGTTCTTCGTACAATAAAGTAAATTAAAAGATTATGCAATTATTACAGAATCATTTTATTTTATAATTCATCTTTTGTAATTAAAATATGTATTATTGAAGTAAAATATATTTTTTATTACAAAAATTATTTTATTCTTAAACTATGCATTCTTAATAAATTAAAATGAAATTTATTTTACCGATCTTACATCCACTACACAAAAAAACAGCGAAATAATGATCAACGATGTTTAATTTTAATGAACCTAATTAACAATATTTAATTTCAACTAGATGAAATCTCTATGAAAAATTTTTTAGTATTAAGTAGCAAAGTACCGAAGGAATAAATCTCAGCGTAACTGAACTTAATAAAATTGTTAACTATATGAATATATGAAGTATAATAACAACCATAGTACTAATTTTTGTAATGTAGTGTACAATTTATTACAATTATTGAAGTCGATAAAAATTTAACATACTTTAAAAAAAAAACTATTAGCGAAAATATATTTTATCTTACTTTTCAAATTTCTTATACATTTTTTTTTAATCTCAAATGTATAAAATTTTAAAGTTTATATCTCAATTCGTTTATATATATATATATATAAAATTGTAAATACATATACCGCAAGAAAAATTCAATACACGTTTATCCACTAATTTTTCAACTTTGTAACAGAATTTATTTTGAATATATAAAATAATTATTCGAGATTAAAAAAAAGTATATAATTTATGAATCTATTAATTTATGTATTTTAAAATAATTGCATACTTTATAAGTTATTTTGACGTCGAATTCTAAAATATATAAATTTAAAAAGCAGTTTTAACTGTTAACGTTAAAATAAGAATCTTAATTTCTACAATTATTGTTATAATCGTACAAAGTGTTGAAGTATCAAATAACAATTTATTTACACATTTACAAGAATTATATAATTTATATTTATAATTATATAATATTTATGTATAAAATTTTAAATATTAAATATAAACTGATTAATCACGTTAGGTACACTTATTCTTCATGTGGTGGATGTAGCAATATTACGCAATATTTCATTTAAAAAAAGCTTATAAAAAATTATATTTGTTGTGAAATTTATAATTAAACCATTGACTAATTACTAAATCTTTTTAATTCATTTTCGAGTAATTTATTCATTTAAATTCAGACTTTTAAGGTTAAATATTTTTATTTTTATAATATATACCTATATTATTATTACTAACAAATTGACTGAATGCTTGTTATATGTCGTTAAATTATTTTGTAGTTTGATATGTATGGATATTCATATGTATTACCAGCAATTACGGAAAATTATTTAATTTTTTTCTTTTAAATAAATGCGCGAAATTTTAAGTCATGCTCGATACGAGCATACAATAAAATTAAATCAAATAGAATCAGTCACAAAATTTCTTTTAAAAACATTTATTGTAAAAACTAAAAAATATAGACATTTCTACAAAAATTATGTGATGAATATTTTGTAATGGATATTTTGTATTACGAATGAAAATTAATATAATATAAATATGAAAACTATAACAATAAGTATAAATTGGTCAATGTTTTATCATTATATACTGAAATATAAAAGTAAAATTAAAATAAATAACAAATTTTTAATATTTTAACGTAATAAATAAGTATATTAAATCAATTAAATCACTAAGAATTAACGAGCTAAAAAATTTAAATCGAATTTTGAATTTTTTATAGATATACAATCTATAGTAAGATATATGTTGTACAATGTATGTCATGTTTAGTTTTTTGATGAATATATAGATTCACATATAAAAATGAAATCTTTAAAATTATATTAAATTAAATAATATTACCTTTAACTTTATAAATCTTATAAACAATTTATTTGTGTAAATAACATCTTAAATGAAATTACGAAAAGATGTCATACAAATATAAATATAAAAATATACATAATATTTAGGATTTAATCTATTGACCAATTTAAGCATTTGTTTTAAAATGAAACATTTAAGAATCACGCATTACGTAATATTTCTACGTACGCATGCATGCGACTGAAAATACAAAGATGACTTCATCGCTTATTTGTAAACACTTTATACACCATAATATACGCTTAAATAATTTATCCTTTACTTTTTTTATTAAAAAAAGTATCGAAATATTTAAAAATTTACTTATTCTTTATAAGTGCATAACTGTTTTATTTTTTTGTAAATTTTAATACTCATTAAATAGTGTTTCTCAATTATTTTTGTTTTATTATAATTATATACAGAATGTACAAAACTATTATGCTCAAAGCTAAATAATAAAATATATTATTAAAGTAATTATAAAAGCATAAGTCTATTTAATTCTAAATTGACTTTCAGTATTTAGCAAGTTTTACAATTAAATCAATAAATTTATATATCTAAAAATTTAATATCTTATGACTTATATTATCTATGGAGAAACATCGAAAATTTTAATATACGTCATTGAAAATGTTTCTAAATTTAATATTACATTTAATTACTGTAAATATTTGTTTTTACAAACGTAGATAAATAATATAAACAAAGATAATAGAAAATGTAAGAAATAATTATAAATTCAGAAGTCTGAATATAACTATGAAACACTAATTAGGAGATGAGAACGAATAATACATATGTATTACAGCAGATCTGAATTGAGAACGCTCTTTACAAATGATGTTTCACAGCATATTTGCCAAATATTGTTAAATGAAATGAATTATACGATCGAACAATAAATAATTTACTAAAAACCTTGAATATACTGTAAAGAAGAGAAAAGAGGTTCAGATTTGTAAGCGTCGCTCACATAAGGATGCAGCAGTTCTTGTCGTCACAGCTGTCGCCGATGATCTCGCTTGTGTTGCCAGTAAACCTACGAAAGTCATCGGTCCCGGATGTGGTGGACACTGAAGTAGGTCGGAGGCCGTTCCCATTTGTATCGAGTTGTTGTCCAGACTGCGTAGGTCCTACGATGCTCGTACGGTTTTGAGCCCGTTGCTTCTTTAGATCAGACAGAGACTTAACGAATACCACCGAAACGTGGATGTTGATTTTACCATTAGCCTCGTCTGCATAAATTGGTTGCTGGTGTTGATGTTGCTGTTGGTGCGAATCGTCCTGACCTATGTCTGAATGCCGCAAGGCAAAACAGAAGGTGCTCTGCTTAAGTCTTGTCAAACGACGACTCCAAACTAGACGGCGAACTCATCAATTTTTATTTATTTGCTCGCGCTCTGTTGTTAACTCAAGACAACACTACCTAATCTCTGGCATTTTCTGATATAATCACGCAATTTACCTACTTGAGAGCATAGATCTCAATGTATGAGGTATATTCACCTATTCATGCAACAATATTAATCATTAAATATATAAGGTTATAGATTATAAGGAGAAGGAAAATGCGTCTATAAATATTAATGCATTTCGATTTTATGTGGAGTGATTTGTTTATAATAAAAATATGCTCAATCTTGCAATTTGGTAATTTATATCATTATTTATAGTGCGAGGCACGCTAATGAACAAAAATTTGTGGAAAAACTAAAATTTAAAATGTTATTAAATTGTTTTACTTATTGAATAATATCTACGTGTAAATTATGAGTATTTGTCTAATGAATTTGTTAATATATAAACTAGATATTAATTTTTTAAATAAATTTGAGAATTTCAATTTCTGATGTATCAAAATATATATTTATAAACGATATTTATAAATGAATAATCTTAAATGTAACAATTAATAACTATTTAACCATTATTTCGTTTTTACAATATATTATATTTTTTTAAATTCATTTTAACTGCGCTAAAACTTTAAATTGTATTTAATTATGAAATAATATGGAAAATATAACATTTATAAAATGAAATTTATGTATTATTGATAAGACATTATAATTGTGAGTTTATTTATAAGTTAATTACGAAATTAATTTATTAAAAAATTAAACATAAGATAAAACTTAAAATAACTATTTTTTAAATTTACTTATGAAATAAAATGATCTATGTATGTTATGTATATTTCATATTTTTTTTATAAATTTTTTAAATCTCAAATTATTTTGTTAGAAAGAAAAATATATTTTTTAAGTTTGTAATTTGAAATGGTGATTTCAAATTATATTAGATATAAATCTTATTTAAACAATTTCTTCGAATTTACTCAAGTGACCAACAATAAGTAGTCTATACATAGAAAATTCAAATAGAAATTTATGAGTTTAAATTATATAACATTTATGTTAATATTTTAATTTCAGTTTTAGAGTAAATAAATTTTACAGAATTTGATCTTGAAATATTTATATTTTATTTATATTTTGCAAATTATAAAAAGATAATGAAAAATATGTAAAATCGTTAGATAAAATAAAACGTGCTATCTATACAAAATGTGGATTTATATATTTAACTACAATGACTATAATATATTAGAAATCTACTTATTACATTTTTTGTAATTGCCAACTTAATAGAATTAACCACCACCGTCATGCAATTCGTGTAATTTTCAAAAAACATTTTATTGGATTACAATATATAACTGTATACTTTTATCATGCATTAGCCAATTGTTAAAAATTATACTTTCTAAAACATTGTTAACAATGAATACACTTGAGCATATATTTTTGATATTTTGTTAGGAAATAATTATTATTATATATTAAAACATTTCTTTAAAAGAATAGATTTTAAAATAATTTGTGCCTTATTAGAGGACATAGTAAAACAGAAAATGAAACTTTTAAGTTTAAATTTTTAGAATAATTTTTGTAATAAACAAAGTTACATAAAGATTTTAAAAATATATTTAGAATAAGAGCTTGATTATAATATTTGTTAAAAAAATATGTTGAATTATAACTAAATTTGTAATAATCAAAAAATGTAATAAACTAATATATTATATTCAAGGGATTTTAAAAGTAGTATAGCAGAGAAAAAAAAAATATATATTTTTTATGTATTTTTTGATATCATCACGATTTGATAACATTATTTTCTATTTAAATTTAGCTTCCAATACTTTCGCAATATTTAATTTATTATAACTGGATAAATAATTTTTTAACATTTTTTTTGGATTTAGTTTAATTGAATCCTATGATGAATAAAATGCTCTCGGATGATATCTTCTTTATTAAAAATGATAATTTAAATTAAATAATAAATTGTTATTATATTTTATACATCGGTTTGTATGAATAAATAGATACGTGCGTGAGTGCATTCATTTAAGTGTGCTCGCATCTGTATATATATAACAACGTAATATGATATTCAACGCATATACGTAGAAATACGTTCACCACAGAACTAGATTTAATAAACTTTAATAAAATTCTAAATTCTAAATTGTGTATAAGTTTTTTAAGTTGAAATGGTGAAAAAATGCTTAAGGAATGTGGTACATAATGTTTTCTGCCTAAATTTCGCTACAAAATAAATTCAATAAAAGAGCCTTATTTTTATATATAATTAATAATACCTTATGCTCAGATTAACATATTTAATAAAATTGATTATTTTTGAACTAAAAATTTAAAGACTCTGCTCACACAATTCTATTATAAAAAATTTCTATACAGATTGAAATGTACACAGTTCATAGATTAATATCATTATTTGGTACTTTGGCCGCTTAACCTTAATTTCAAGAACGCCGAACAGTAGATTCTTTATAGCTAATTTACAATAAAGTTTCCTAACTATCCGAAACATACAATATAAATAACAGAAATCATTATTACAAACCAATCTTTTTTATTGAACAATCAAAATTTGATTGTTTCGTAGTTTCGTTAAACAATATTACTTAAAATTCTAATACACCCAATAAAATCTTGAAAATATTAACATTTACAAGTAAAGCGTTTTAAAATTAATTTAGTAGCTAAAGAACAATTTTCATATTTTCTTAAAATTTTTAATACCTTTTTTTAAAAAATATTTTAATTATGAAGAATATTTTTAATTTTAAATTCTTGTTTATATTAGCTTAAAATAAAATTTATTAAAAATTAATTAATATATAAATGAAATCGGCAAAAAATGTTTTTTTTTATTTAAATAATGAAAAATGAAACTTTTTCTCTAAATTTTTTATTATTTATATTATAGTAATTTAATTTTTTTTAACATATAGAATATGAAATATATCACAATGAATTTGAAAAAGTTTTTTAAAAAATTTGCTGTTAAAGTTGTAAATAAATAAAATTTAAGAAGGCCTTTCTTAAATGACTAAATAAATAACAAAATATATAAATATCATTTTAATTTAATGCTGAGAAAACTTTTTCCTCTTGACTTCATAAAATCATTATTTAAGTTAATACTGTAGATTTATTGTATAGTAAGTACTTCAGAAATATCAATATTAATTATATAATAGAATAAAATACCATTTGATATAGGCATAAGTATTTTATGTCATTAATAAGTTTTAAATAATCAATAGAAAGAAAATATAAGATTATTTTTATGATTATGTATATTAAATTATAAAATATATACAAATGTGTATATGTGTGTGTGTGTGTGAAAGTACAAACACATACACATACACAAACAAATATAAATTTAAAGAAGTAAGAAAGTTACATAAAAAACTGACCTCGAACAATTTGTTATACACCCGAGTGAGATGAAAGTGCCGCACAGAGAAAACACAGAAATAGCAGGTAAATGGTTGATGAAAAATGTGTAACAATAAAAAATCTACCAATTTTTAGATTTAAAAATGTATATATATATATACATGTATATATTTACTACTCTTATAATTTCACAAAAATTATAAGAAAAATTTTATTGGTATAAAAAGACTGAAATTGTTTATCTAATTATAATCAAATATATGGTTTTTCTTTGAGATTCCCAATATTGATTATATTTGTTCATATAAAGAAAATAAGAATAAAATAGAAAAAATAAATGAAAAACGAAATAACACATACTGCTTTACATGAAGCTTAAAATAGCTTTCACCATAATACTCTACTGAACCACAACCAATGCAAGCAGAAATAACTTCGATATCTACCTGAGTCTTTATCGACTTCCTCGTTTAGAAACGAATCGTTGTCTTTGCCCTCTGGAGCTCTTCGAACTGTAGTCGTCAAGGCGGTCGAATCTGTTTCTTCATTTGCATTATCTGAACCTCCCATACTGTTTTCTGATGTTGATAGATTAGTTGTGGGATTTCCAAAAGTATGCTGCATAGGTATTATGAATAAATAAATACGTACATTTTATACTTATTAAACAAAAAATATTTATATTATGTGTACAGTCATTTAATATACTATATTAAAAAATTTTAATTTATTTGCAAAATCAATGAAAAAAAAACTTCACTATAATTGCATTGCACCTATACTTCATTTAAAAAAATGAAATTTTATAACCATAATGAAGGCAATAGATTTATAAATATTTACTAACTTGTTGGGCTTGCAGCCTTAGCCTTGCTTCTTCTTGAGCATCCTTTTTTGTCGTAAGAACTTTATCTCTTATGGAAGTTCTCCGCACACTCTGTGTCCTTGTATTGATGCTTTGTGATCTTCTTACTCGCCTGTTCTGTGCTTCGCGCAGTTTTTTGCTCTCCTGTTCAGTCTTTAGTTCCATTATTCGCTCACGAATTTCCGGATCTTCGCATATATCAGCCGGCGTCTCATCGTGTTTATTCTTTGCATTCAAATCAGCACCATTTTGAACTAACAGCTCCAAAACTTCCAACTATAATACACATTTTCAAATTAGAAGAGAATTTACTGAATTTACTGAAGTAATTTGCTGAAATAAGAAGTGATCTTATATTCATTCAGTAGTATATATTTAATTGTTTTATTTAATCTTTTTTATAAATAAATATTAAAATAATTTTGATAAATGTTTAAAAATATGTATTATATAAAAATCGGAAAATATGAAATAATATTCAATTTATGATTATCTTTGAAAAAATATTTAAAAATTAAGAATTTTGACAAAAATTTATATTTATAATTACGAAAAACTCATAAATAAATTAATTTATGTAATAGATTCTTACATGTCCCCAGCAAGCAGCAGCATGAACAGGTTGCCACTTATCGTTATCTTCAACATCTGTAGAAACATGCTGATCAAGAAGAAACTCAACAACTCTTACATATCCATTTGCCGCTGCTACATGAAGCTAAAATCAAGAGATAAATATGAATTTTATATCAAATTATTAAAAATAAACAAATAAACAAAAAGAATTATGATAACATGTTCTAAATTTGTATATATATACAAGCCACTGGTATATGAAACAAGAATCAAGAAATAAATAAGAATTTTACAAAAAATTAATTAAATACGAATTCTAAAATTTGTATATATATATCCAAGTAACATAAAAGTAGTATTGATAATATAATTTTATTATTAATTACGTTTTTATGTCCTGTTATTAGATGATTTCAATTTAACATTGACAGAAAATATATACTTACAGGTGTAGCAGCTTGGTGGTCTTTATATTCTAAATCACCTCCTATTGATGCTACTCTCTGCAAATCTCTCAGCATTTGTATCTCTATAGAGGCACGAGTCTCATCAATTAATTCTTGCGTTACTCCACGACGAGCCATTTCGCCTATGAAAAGAAAATTTGTATTAAAATTCAAATTTTAAATTACCTTAATCATTTTATTACAAATAAGTTTTTAAATATTAATTATATATTTGTTTAAAATAAAAAATAAATAAAATACTAATATTTAAAAAAACTAATTAAAGCTTAAAAATATAATAGATAAAAGAGATAAAACCTTGCTGTTTTTATTGAAAGAATTATTTATATAAATTATTGAAGTTAATAATAATAGAGGATTCAAACCATAAATAAAAATTACCTTCTATGCAATCCAGAGTTTTTTCATCTTCACAAATATCATAAGGCATATTTCCATCGGCATTAACAGCCAACAAATTAGCACCTTTCGCTATCAAATATCGAACTAAATGTAAATGTCCGCAAGTAGCAGCAGCATGTAAAGGAGTCCATTTTTCACTATCCTCAGCATTTACATTCGCACCAAATTCAACAAGAAGCTTCATCATTTCTTCATTATCATCTATGCAGCACTGATGCAATGCAGTTAACCCATCTTCATTTGTTGAGTCTGGATTAACTCCTTTCTTAAGTAATTTTCGCACTGTCAAAGTTTTTATAAGTTGAAAAAATTAGCTTATAGTAGATAGCGTATGAAATAAAAAATGATACAATATTGTCATTTAATTATTATGTGAGAAACACTTCTGATAATAAAATATTTAAAAGTAAAATTTTATGTTTTATGATTATTTTCAGTAAAATAAAATCATGAAATTTATATACTATAGAAACACAAAATTGAGCCAATATAAGTATATATAAATTGAAGATTTATTATATACTTTTATTTACATGTTAAATTATTTGTTTTACAAATTATTTTAATATTATAAAATTAGATAAAAAAAACAATTATTCTATTATAAATGAAAAAGGTATTTAGATATTCTAAAGGTATAAAAAAATTTATTTTACAAATATAATTCTTTATTACCTTCATCAATATCATTTCTTGCTGCAGCTTCAAGTAACATTACACTGTCACTGAAAAAGATGTGTCTTTTACTACTGGAATGTCTAATTTGGTGGCGAAGCCATTCTTTTTCACGTTGTCTCCATACTTTTAGTTGTTGAAGACGCCTGTGTCGAGCTAAATGTAACCTCTCTTGAGTTGTTAGTTTTTCGACATGTACCATTTCTGTTACTAGATCAGCATGCTCCATATTTAAATATTTGTTATTTTTACAACTGTATTTACCTGTAAACAATGCAGATTCCATTTCATATTTAGAAGAATAAGAAAAAATTAATTGTATTCAACTAGAATATAATATATATATGATATAGTATTTTATAGAAACTAAAAGTACTTTGTTTTAGATTTTATCTTTTTCTAGGGACTATAAATTATAAGTAAGTTACAATATTTATATTTACATATAATCAAATACTATAAAATTAAAATTAATAATTTACGAGAACAAAAATACAGAATATTTTATTTAGACATTATTTTCAAAATTTGCATAATAATGATTACAACCTTCAACATTTTAATGTGTTTTATTTTTTATTTATTAATGTAATTATTTAAATTTTTTACATTTTTTCTATAATATTATTAATCATCTTTTAAATTTAATATTTTTAGAAATATTACATGCAAGTAGTATGCATTGACAAATAACATATTTGTTTTTGTTTAAAAACTTGATAATACAGATAAAGATAAATAAGAGTATAAATATTTTTATTAATAATTTTAATTGTTTATAAGCTTTATATATTATATATTATAATTAATAAGCTTTATATTATAATGAAATAATAATAATTGAATTTTCATAAAAAATATATTGAGTTTGAAAATGAAATTTTTAAATTATTTTTCCAAATAGAAAAGGTAAAAAATTTTATTTCAACAATTTATGAGTTGTCAATATTATCAAAATAATATAAAAATTACTTGTATATAAACATGTTTATTAGTATAAATGAATGTTTTATATATTATTTTTTAAATCATTTGAAAGCACTATCATAATATTGATTGAGAAGTTTAAAATACGTATTAAATTTTTATTTAAAAATATACTTAGAAACTATTAAAAGAAAATATTTAAAAGATTTTAATAAATTTAAAAGAAAATATAATTATGTATTTTATAACAATTTATATGCAATTTTAAAATAAGTGTCAACTTTATCTCATTCAAAGTTTATTCAAAATTATAAAAACTGAATAAGAATGATAAAAAATTATCAAATAATAAACTATCACTTTACAAATGTATTAGAATAAAAGAACCAACAAAACATTATAGAGTGAATTAAAAAAAAATTCAGGTAAGTTGACAATTTCACAACCTAATGATAATTAATTCTGTGATTTGTACTTACTCAAGTACATTCATAAAGACATTTTCAACATTCATTATGCATATTTATTCGTAATATTACCAGCTCACAAACTTGATTCGGAAAGTCAGCTGAATACAACAGTTTCAATTCGAAGTCTTAATTCATTGTTGATGAGATGCTTTTGTAATAACATCACACAGTCCGTTAACCTGTCTTTTTGGGCTCTAGTGCGCTTTTAGGTTAGGCTATCCGAGAGTAACCGGCTTATGTGACTTGAATGCGCATGAGACCCGCACGGTTACGCAGTAGGCACAATGTGTTTCGTTCATCCAAAATGTAAAACTCTCATCATTCACGCATTCACGTGCGCAAGCAACGACGACAAATATACTATCACCGCCATTTTTAAACTACCTGTAGGTCGGACACATCCAGCAACTTGCTACGAAACAGTTCTCAAGTTCCAACCTCAATTCAACAAACGGTGTTTCTTCGACGTTTGCGAAGCACTTCGTTTGGTGGCGTTCTTGATGCATCTCTTGTTTTTATTCCTGTATATAAGCGCTGAGCCATAGACCCGCTGTCTATCGTACATCTTGTATATTAATTTAATCTAGTGAATCTACGTGTCTCTTGTTTCTGTACAATTAGATACAGAATGTGCCATAGTTTCTTTCCTTTTTCTCTTCTCATGCATGAGTAAGAAAAGCAAGCTTCATTTTGACATTATTGACATTTTTTCAATTCTGTTTTATGTATTGTTCTCGTCTTCGTACCTGTGTAGCTGTTATTTTGTGACTGCCTTTAGAAAATTGTACTTTAAATTTAGATTAAAGAAGTAATAAAGGATACTAATGTATCAAGTTGAATTATATTACTAATATCTTATAATTCCATCCTTGGAAAGAAAATAATTGTATCTTATTATTTTACTTCAATATTCCTTAACATATATAATTTTCCTAGTGCAATACTTTCTGAATTCATTAATTTTTAAAATATATTAATATAATAAACTATTGTAAATTTTATAAAATAAACTATTGCTTATGATATCGATGTTTTTTTTATATGGTTATATATTTAATCGAGTATTATATTATAAAAATGAGTATCAAGAATTTTACTTTAAAAGCAGTTACATATGAAAATTATAAATAAATATGAATTTATAAAAGTGCCTCATATATGCCTTGTAACGATTTAAAGATAGATGAAATAGTTTAACACATAAGCTATATGTAAGAAATATTAAAATTATATTATTAAGATAATCAGTTCTTTAAAAATAAAAAATATTTGTATGAAAATAATAAATATCAGAAATAAGGCTGAAAAATCAAAAACAGGTAATTGATTTTTCATTATTTTTTAATCTGATTGCTTATCGACTGTTTTAAAATTTTCTATTAGCCTTTAGTAATATAATCAGTTGCATACTTAAAAGTTTAATTTTTCTAAAATTGACCTTTTTGACACGCAAAATTTATATTATATTCATATATGATTACAGTCTAAAATATATTTTGATTGAAAAAATTAATCTTACAGTTTGTTATATTTATTATTAAATACTAATTTCCTGGTATTGTTATTATGCAAATAAAATTTTATTTAATATTTATTATTTTTGTATAGCAAATACTTTATCAACAGCGTATAATAATTATCATATAAACAGTTTAATATTTTGGTTTAATAATGAAGAAATGATAAAATTAAAGAAATAAATTTTAATATCACCATTAATACAAATTTTTTACAGCCGAAAAATAATTTATTTAATATTTATTTAAAAAGAAATATTTTTTGTTGACTCGATTAATAACATGTTAATGATTAATTAAATAATTATTTAATAATAAATAGTAAATTTTTTCTTTTAAATTGTAATAAATATTAAAAAGAATAAATATTTTTATTACTATAAATTTAATATTAAAAATAGATAAAATTTGATTTAAAGAATTTATTTTCAAATAGATGTAGCAAACATTAAAAATTGTAATTCTATTATTTACATACTATATTACATAATACGTCATGATTATAACTTGATTTGCATAAATAAATTTATATATAAATTTGACTTAAAAATAACAAATTCATGTAATAGAAAATGAAAAGTTTTATTATGATAGTTTTACTTTTTTACAAAATACATATTTAGAAAATAAAAACATTAAAAAACAAAATATAATGCTTTTTTTATAAAAAGAAAGGAAAATTACCAAAAAATTGATAATGGATAATCAACGCAACAGAAATATATAATGCATCATGTAAAAAGTAAACAGGAAGAATATTGTATGAAGTACAATGTTTTGTACATTGTTCAATTTATATTTTTGTCAATGTAGAACTCGCACTTTTCTGAAATAAATAAAATTCAATCAAAATGTTTTATATTTCCATATTCCCGAAGTTTCTATGTACTTTCAACTCTGCATCGATGTTGCGCGCTTTTCCAATCATAGAAATGCTAGTATTTCTATGATTTTTAATAAACTTTCTAAGTTCGTTCTCAGAGAAACAAACGTTTACCTTACTTTTAATGAAAGAAGAAAATTGTAAATGACAATTTTAAACAATATTTTGACGTATTCAAATAATCTTCTAAACATGATTAATTATTTTAACATATACTTGGCAGTGTTTTTTGGTACTGTCGACAGCATTCTCAGAAAATTGGATGGAGTTTTTAAATATTCAAACTTATTAAATAAATTAGTTTGCTTCATATGGCCAGGAAAAAATTTGATATTCTTATATAATAAAATTGTCATACTGCATATTGATAATATACATAATAACTGAAAAATTCAATCAGATTAAATAAATTGTTTGCTTATATATATACTCATCAAAATAATAGTAAAAAATATATTTTTCTAAATTAAATGTATCAAATAATAATAATATTTGTATGTAATAATAATATTGAATATTTTAATTATAGTTCTATTTTTATAAATTAAATAGATAAAATCTTGATTTAATATTATTTTTACCATTTTAATAATTTGCTAGTACATTAACTCTACATTATAAGATGTTTCTATAAAAACTAAAATTTTTGTTGTTATAATTTAAAATATTGACCAAATCTATATATACAGTACTGAGTTTAAATTTTTTTAAATAACATACTTTATTAAAAAACACAAAAAGATAGCTAATTATTTATGGATGTTATTTTTTTATTCAAAAAGAGGGGAATTAAAATCTTTTCTTTATAATTGCAGTTCGTTAAATATATAGTAAAAAAAACTTTAAATTTAATATTGTTGATGACGTTTATAATATTCTCTTATTTATTTCATTTATTACTTATTATATATTAATTTGTGAGCATATAAAAACATTTTCAAAATTGAGAAATGATTTTTTTAAATTTGTTTTTACGCAAATAAATTCAATGATTACATATCGTGATAATAAGAATTGAAAGCACATCGTAACTAACTTATTTATCTTTAATCAATTAAAAATAGCTAATCGGAACATTTATAGTAGGAAAGAAATAATACTATAATATTAATTATTAATTTATAGTTATAAAATATGATTTTATTATCATAAAAAAAAGTTTTTTTATTATAACTGCGATTACTACTTAAATTAATAAAATACAAGTTATGTTTCGAATTTCTTTCTTATTCTATGTTATATATATTACCATTAACACAATATTATTTGAAATAATGATAACATAATTAAAAAATTTTCTATTAATAAAAGTTTAAGGTGTGCATAATAAAATAAAAGGAAATATAATTCTCTTGTATATATTGGCTTCTTTGTTACTGATAAGGCATCACGAGGTCAGTGACGAAAATGTTCAATCTTATCCTTTACTGATTCTTCTTTTAGAGGGGCTTTTTATTAAATGTTAATTAATGTTGACTTTTATTTATTTATTTAATAATATTTTTTAATTTAAATATGTCAAATACGGAAGACTATTTAGATTTTATTTTACTATTAATATTTTATATTTTAAATACATTTATTTTTTAATACGATGGACATTATTATATATATGAAAATATAAAAGTTTAAATCTATTTCCATGAGTGATTTAATATTAATACATTCCAGTTTTAAACGAAAAGTGAATAGTTTAAAAATTTTAAATTTACTTTATTTCTACAATTAAAATTTATGTTTATTCTGATTACATCATTTTTTCAAAAATATTTATAAGCATTGTATTTTTATAATACTATATAAATTTTGTTGTTATTTATATATATTAAATTTCAGATTTTAATAACTTCCCAGTATTGAATACAAATTTTTTCAATATTTATATATAATAATCAATATGATTTGGTTTAAAATATGAAGTAATTAAGTTCTTATGTATAATAATTTTAGATTATTTTATAATTATAATAATTTTGTTCTAATAACAAGACAAATTTCATATTTAATTAAATAAAAAATAATTTGTATTTATTATTTACTAAAGCTATAAATTATTAATAGGAATTATTATGATGTCCTGAGCATAAACTAAGAAAAGTATATAATTAAGATATATAACATACCACCTGCATTGTTGAAGTCTCGTCGGGATGTCATTATTCTTCTATTTTATGGATGAATACATTGAAACTGAACAGATCAACCTTCCAACTAAATTATATGGTTTACATAAAATTAACGTGACTACAAAATTATAAATTAATTGAAAATTAATAAACTTTATTTTTCTATGTATAAATCACAATTATATTGTGGTAATGAACTAAAAAAATTATTTTATATTTATTTAAAATGTAATTAGTTCTTTGAATTTAAAATAAATATTCGACAAATATCACTAGCGAAGAAATAGTCGATTTATTTTCATTTATGATTTTTTGAAACAATTTACTTTAAATTACATTATTATATTCGTTAGTACAATATTTAAAACTTATGATTTATATAAATAATAATTTGAATAAAATTATATGATTAAGATATTTTCAAATATATTTTTATAAAATTCGATGGAGGCACTGAAATTTTAATTACTATTATAAAAATATTGTCTTTAATAATTGGGTTTTTTATGTAGATATCAAAATGTAGCGTGAATGAAAATACTAATTCGTTTATATTATTTTCAAATATTATTAATGTAATGGTTATTGAAATTGAAAATATTAAACAAATAACTAATTCATTAAAGGCTTTTTAATAAGCAAACTTTATTATTGTTTTACAACAATGCAATGTAAATACAATACGTGTGTAATGTAAGCTGTAACCAAACAAGGCTCTTTATTATTTTATCGCGATTTACAATATCGTCATCATAATTGTATGAATCATTGAAATAATACAAATTTGGTCATTATTATCAGCATTTACCTCTTACGATATGAAAAAATCTATTTAAAATGATTAAAAATTAAAAATTAAACATAACGTATCAACGAATAAATCAGACAAATAAAAAAGCTTATGTATATATATATAAACGATAAAATTGGACTTTTAACGAAATCATTTTTAATATAACTACGCTTATATTACTAATAATTTAATTTGTACGTATTTGGTAAAATTTTAATTCAAAATTTATTATATCACATTGAACATAATTCAATTGAAAAAATATAAATACTTCATAATGTAAATATGGTATATCAGAGCCAATATAAAATTTAACAATATTGATTATAAGTTTACTTACCGAAATCTTAATAATATTTAACATTTAATACAAGAAAATGACAATTCTAAAGGCATCTTATTTACTTTAAAAATTGTCAAAACAGTAAACTGTTTCAATTTTTGACGAAGTTCTATTATTTGGACTAGAATTTTGTATTTTCAAAAAGAAAAAGTA